TCTTTTGTCATCTACGATATCTTGGCGTTCATCCGGACGGACATGTCCACTCGTTTTGTCTCCTCATTTCGCAGAATACTCCTATTACCTTTTGTACAAGCCAATTATACAAGAACTCCTTTTACCATTTGAGTACAAGCTATAAGAGTAGCAATACCATTATCTTTGAATCAAATATTGTCATCAATATATCACAATTTTGCATTTACTATACGTCTTTTTATACCCTGTACCCAAAGGGTACAAGGGTATATTAGTTTTGTGCGAGTGCACATGGAACACACAGAAGGAGGCTTGGTAGACCCCACAAAGTATATATATTCTTGATCAGCATGACAAGCCGAGTCGATATAGCCATGTCCGTCTGTCCGTCTGTCTGTCCGTCTGTCTGTCCGTCTGTCTGTCTGTATGAACGCAAGGATCTCCGAAAGTATAAGAGCTAGAATAACCAAACTTGGTATACAGATTCTCCTGAGACTGAGAAAGGACGAGTTTGTTCATTTTTTCTGATCCACCCCCCCCCCCCCACTCCCCCCCCCCTATTAACGATTTTCTATAACTCCCGTAATTCTTGGAATTTTGAACTAAAATTTGATAGTCACATTAGGTTAGTAATTATATATCCGTATAGTATAGTATAGTTTCATTATGATAGAATGATCGGAAAGAAAGTTATAGCCATATAACCAGGCCCAATGCACACATACATACATATGTACAAGTACACAGACACGCATAAGGCACGATTCTGATGTAAATGTATGTATGCATGCATGGAATATTTTATATTTAATTAGTTAATATTTAGTTAATTAATTAAATTAATTTAGTTAATTAATTTTATTAAATTAATTAATTAATTTAATTACTTTTTTGTGGGGTGGTACAGGGTATTTAAGAGTTGAGCCTGCTCGACTTTAGCATTCCTTTCTTGTTTAATATCTGTCATATTTTGGCATTAATGCTGATATTTTCCATTAGCTTAAACAATAACGAATCAATAAATACAATTAATATGAATTAAATAACGACGAGATACCTTTTATAAAGCACACAAAGACCACACAAAATCAATTAAAAATCATACAATTATTCATTCTATTCCTTGAATACTCACATATATTCCTTCATTTTGCTTATTAGCCTAAGAAAATCGAGTTTAATCGATTCAAATCTTCTTATATTGTAAAAATAAAATTATTGAACACTATATATCTTCATTATACTTTTAAGTTTCTGGAAATTATTGATATTTTTTGAATAATGTTGCTATAAAAGTAAAATTAATTATAGTTTTGAATACTTTTTTTTTATATATTACGCTTGATTTTTGTTGATCAAATAAAAAAGATAATAAATAATAATTGACTAAAAAGAAAACTAGCTACACAACTCACAATCGATTAGAGAAATATAGAAGCCAGATATGTTATATTACGAATATATATTTAATCGCAAGCAGCTTGTAGTTACGAGAAAATACTAAAATAAGTATAATTAAGGAACTCAATATTTCTTGGTGAGTGCTCAACTGTCTGCTGGTTTTATTCTACAGGCATTAGTAGTTTTCTAATTAATTATAATTGCTTAACAATAAACTGTACTATCAGCCAGCGACATATACCCCCACATAGTACATACTCGTACTTAGGATTCAAATCAGAGATCGAGAAAGTGTAGAGTGAGGAATTTCTCGATTCCAGAAAGTCTCGTGTGTCAATTAAGGAATCTTTCTAGAAATCGTGTAATTCATTTTATCAAACCAATGTTATCATTTTGTCAAGCAAAATAAATTTGAAATCACGCGACAAACTCGACAAAAAATGCTACGCAGTCAGCTTTGAGAGAGAATGAGAGACACGAAATATGGCTGAGAACTTTAAGCGGAAATTTTAATAAAAATCATTTACAATTTATTTCAAACAGAGCAAACGCAGACGGTATGATCTGGTGCCCTGTGTGTGTGTGTGTGTATGTATTTCTGTGTTATAAAAATATGCAAACAAACAATGAACTATTGGAAGTATTGTATGCGCCATATAGCCGACAACGATATGCTGCTATGGCGCGTAGTAATGCCAGTCTGGCACATTCAACTCGCCCGAGGACTGAGACTGACCGACCATAACCGAACCGGAGAGGGCTGGATGCCTAGTACGCAGCCTCCAGATGGGGTACTGTGGTGTGGGGGTATGGGGGTATGGGGGCATGGTATGGTAATTGAGTAGGTGTTGCTGCTGGACAGAAGCGCTTCTATAGTTGAATTTAATTTTGTGCAATCAACGACATTAAGTGATGAGCAGTAGAGAGCTATATATACGCATATAATGTGTAGATCAGCATTAACTCTGTAAAGAAACAGAATAACTGGCATTAATAAGACGCTTTGATTTGATTCAACAAAATGAAGACCTTCAGCCACACCAAACAAAAGGGATCCTATGTATCGCTCAGTCTTACGCCGTGAGCCCGCAATTGAATCATAAAGTTCGTCTCCAGTTTGAACAGGTCCTCGTATTCTCGTTGCTGTCGTGTATATTCCTCCTTTTGGGCACTCAAGTACTCGCGCAGCCGATAGAGCATATAATAGATGATCACGCAAGCTATGAGAAGAACGTTCAGCAACCTCTCGCTATAGTCGGTAAAGGGGCGTGGTCGATGCTCCCTAAAGTCTAAATATGTATGCCAAACTAAGTCCTCGTAGCGGCGGCGATCGACTTGCATCCACGAGTAGAACAGCAACAGAGTGAAAGTATATACCAGATCAATCATGCAATATCCAACTAATGCTTCTGGCATCTTCCTCTGATTCTATGTAAATTTTTAAACAAATAATACGTTATTGATCTGATGACTAAATTCAGTTGTATTCAGTTTCTACAAAATATGGGAATGTCAACTATAAAACGTTAAGTTCCGAGTCTAAAATATCGTTGTGTGCTAGATTGCTATTCATTACCCGTAGACCTGCCCGGCCAGAGAGCGAACAAATGGAGCAAATTTCACTCCGGGTCTGCGCTTTTCAAATTCAGAAGACTAGTACTCTGTAAAATAAAACAAGAGTGGCATGGCATATGGTGACTATCCGTCTGTTCGTATAAGCACCTAGATCCCAGAGATTATTTGCACAGAGATGCCTTGTATGCCAAATTCCATCGTGATGGGTCAATTTTAAATGAAGTTAAAGCCATAAATGTTGTTGCTCCTTTGGCTCAACTCTAATCTGGACGAACACATACTCACACATGGACACAATTTCAATGTAAATTTGCAGTATTCAAGTCCTGAAGAAGATTTTAATTTTTTGTTATTATTTCTATAATTATTATTTTGCGAATCGGCAGTTTGACATTATTACAAATGAGACCTCTCTTACAGAATTGTACAAGTAAGACTGTAAAAACACGCTTTCTGCGTTGATGTTCATTAAGGCACAAAAAATATAATAATTATGGGAGAAGTGAAATGAATAAAATTTCCAGACCTGCACCACTGAGAACTATACTGGTCAGATGTGACTTTTAAACGCACTAGTGAAACAGATATAGAGGCAAATATATTATTTAAGGACAATTGCGTTTGATTACAAATTGCCACCAAAACCATTCATGTCCCAAAAAGATAAAGTATTGTGGAGAGTACCGTCTGAAGTGAGAAACTTACAAAAACTCTTGCGGTTTTTCAAAGTAGGCAAACAATTTGATCATATTCAACAATTTCTTGCATTTGGAATGAAGACTAGGGCTGATCTGAAGGGAATTGGATTGGACCCTTGGAATGGAACCTGTGGTGATTGTGTGCGTTCTTAAGTCTGAAGGCATAAAATTGTGAATTGCATTATATGTTGAAAGGTTTACTTAACATCACTTCATCTATTAGCTTCGTATTTAATGAACGAATGAGTTTCTTCTAACAATGGTATATTAATTTATATACAATTATACGCTATTTAAAACTCTCATTCAACAAGTTGCTTTATTTACTTATTAAAGCTAAAACTCAATTGTAAATGCTTCACATACGGAATCGTATCCATGCCATCTCTTTTCGAGGAATCCTTGCATTAGTTTTAAAAGCCTTCAGATATAAGCATAAGTACTTCTCTGTATAAATCGAATGAGCAGAAAATTTCACACGGAATCGTATCCATGCCATCTCATTTCGATGAATCCTTGCATTAGTTTTACAAGCCTTCAATCGAGTATGAATACAACAATTCACAAGCGCCGCCTTACAGAACGGGAAACCCTCTCAAGACAAAGCCCAACCATGATAACGATGTGCCTTAATCTATTTCTGGTACAGGCAGAGGCGGGCAGCGGGCATCAGGCAGCAGGCAGCAGTCAAACATGGCACATTGAACGGCACCCCAGTGCGCGAGTACTCGGACATCATGAGCTGTGCTGGCGACCACCCGAAGCGAGATGGCGACGTGCCAAATATAACGATGTGTTAATCTTACGCAGAGAATATCGCCTTATCAGAGCTCAGAGTTCGCCGCTGTCGCGATAGCAGATCTACCGCCTGCTAAAGTAATCAATTAGTAAAATGAAAATGGAAATTAGCAAACGTTGACAGTCCATGTGTCCAGCCCGATACCGGAGTGCCCTTCGTAAGCAAGTGTGTCGTTGATCAGAGTCCGAAACGTAGTGGGGGTCTACGTCCATCTCTTATGAGCCCAGGATCTCAACTCGAAGCCTAGAAGATGCCAGCGTGATAAAGGTATGTTGAGTAAATCAAATAATTGCCTCAGGAGCCACCCGCTCTATACTCTCATTTTTGTAATTGCTCTAATCCAAGAGTGTCCTTTTTTGCAATAAAACATTCAAGAATTTATGAAAGGGAATTTAAGATTCGACGCGTCTGTAGGTAATATTTCGTCTTGTCTGAGCTTATCGCTTCATGGGATGGCCTTGGTCAAGGGCTATCGCGTGCCTAGCCGCCGTCGACGCTACGCCAGCACGATGGTGACGGCGGCCGCAGTCAGACGGCCAGCAACTGACTAAGCGAACGGACGCTATTTTTCCCGGTAGTATTAGGCCTATGTCCAAGCCATCATGTTCTCGATATTGAATCAAATGAGTGTCGGTGTTGTGTGCCGCTGCTGTCTGTTGGAGGAGCCGCCTCTCTATTACAACATCTATGAGCAAAACCTGAGTGTCGAGCTACTGGCCCTGGCGCCGACATTGCCAACAATGGAGCCCAACGATGGTCTTAGTGATGCCATCTGCGAGCTGTGTTTGCGGCGCGTGCGTGAGGCCCTAGAATTTCGTCAACGCTGCGAAGAGGCGGATCGTGTGCTGCGTGCCAGGCATGAGGAATGGTGTCGCACCGTGGCTGAAGGTGATGCTGTTGCTCTCGATGACGTCCTGGAATGTCTGGAACGAGAAGTGGGCAGCCTGGATCATCTGGAGGCACAGGCCTTGAACCAGCTGCCAAAGCCGGTCGCCTGTGTGGCTCCGCTCATCTTGACGGAGCCAATTGGCTTTGGTAAGTAGCTGAGCTGAGTGACGATTACGTAAGCTAGCTCTAATCTGCTGCTTCGAAATATAGGTACATTGAGTCCACACGATGTCTATCAGAGCAACTACGTTGAACCAAGCTATGCTTGGCAATGCCACAGCACTCTGAACACACCCACGCATGTGTCGGATACTTTTGAGGCTGCTCCGGATCTCTGCTCGCCAGCATATCAGATCGAGAGCAAGCCAGATGTCAGTAACATCAATGACTCCTCACATACGAGTACGTTTGTCCAAGTAGGAACGAAAACGGAAGCACCACCGACTCCAACACCAACTGAAAAGCCGACACGTCCGAGCAAGTCGACAACAAAGTCTAGGGATCCAAAATCGCGGCACCCTTGCTCCGAATGTGAAAAGAAATTCACTCGCAACTTCCAACTCAAGCTTCATATGATCTCGGTGCATGGTTTGGGCGATGGCTTGGTCTATCAGTGCGACATCTGCCAGAAGACCTTCGCCTCGAGGCACAGTCAACGCTATCATATGCAATCAATGCACTCTACGGAGCGTCCGTTTGCCTGCCAGCTCTGCGATCGTCGCTTTGTTCTGCGCACCCAACTCATTTCCCATCAGCGAACCCACACTGGCGAATCGAAGCCCCGCATTTTCGAGTGTCAGAAGTGCCAGAAAAGTTGGCCCACTCGCTCGGATTTGCGCACCCACATGCGGTCCCACGACAAGGGCATGGAGCGACCATTCAAATGCGATCGCTGCGACAAAGCGTTCTTCACGAGGGGACATCTCAACTCTCACATACTCGTGCACACGGGTGAGAAGCCCTACATCTGTGAGTACTGTGAGCGGGGCTATCAGAGCGTCAGCAATCTGAACAACCATCAGATGCGACAGCACAGGGCCATCCTTGAGGCAGCTGCTCTCGCGTCAAACGAGATCGAAAGCTAGTCGGCCCTGCAATCGAATGTATTATCAGTCAAGAGATTAGTATTAGAGTTGTGTGCTCAACTGAGCTGACGTGGCGGCTGGCAGTGAAAGAAATGCCATTTCATAACAAATAAATTTAAATATTGCGCTATAATTAAAACAAAACAAAAAGTCAAAATCAAAAACAAAAAACACTAACAATTTAGTTCCCAAACATTTTGTTATTGTACGCTTCAATGTCGCAAGCCAAAAATATGCGAGAGCGTGCCCGAAACATGTTGATTAAAGATTTTGATTGAAAATGCATCAATGTGTTAGTGGCTTGAGCCCTGAGAGGTGAAAGCGCCAATGCTAATGCCACCAGAAAAATAAAAAACAAAGTCCACAAAAATAAGAAACAACATATTCAAATAGAAATCGTGCAAAATTTTGATGAAATAATAATAAAACTAAAAAGCTCTGTGAATAACAAAATACGGTTAGCAATGGTATGGGATTAATTTTATTTATTTTGTATTCCTGCTCATGCGAGTAATTGTAAAATGTAATTTATACTTTAATTTGTAATTATATGATAAAATTAAATACTGTATGAAAAAAAAAAAAAATTGAAGCGTTATTTGGTGGGCGTTTCGCTTAATAACCTCTTAGCATTTATATAACGAATATTAATGTAAATATATATATTTTTTAATTCCAAAATCTCAAACCAAAATTAATAAAGTTAGCCTTTATAGTGTGGGTAGGAGTGCTTTGCATCTCCTTCCTAGCTTGAGGAATGAATGAACATTCTCTTGTTCGGATGCTTCGCACTCAGACGAATGGAAAGGCTTACTAAATAAGTATATAGTATTTCACAAATTGCACGCAATGGGAAAAACATATCATTTTATAAATACAACGTAAATAACTTAAAATAATGAGAATATATTACAGAATTTTACACTTTAAACACAAGGGGTGCCCCGACTCTGCAATACATGTGTATGATAATTATAGACATTGAACAAAATTAATAAAATAGAAAACAAGTAAAATGTTAACAAAAAAAAAACCGACTCCAGAACTAGTGCAGTGAATGCCTTTTTTTTTCATTTAAAGTGACTTTGTGTGTTTCGAGGATGATTCTGAAGTAACAGCATCCTCTTCAGGAATTTAATTATTAGTTATTTGGACTAAATGAGGTATGTTATAGGTAGTTTTCTCATGGATACCATTGTCAGAACTAAACCAAATTTACTATTCGGGACCATACGGGAATCATCAACTTTCAAATACAAAAATTATTTTAAGTATAGACGAGTTGATAACCTCCTCCTTTTTAAAGTCGATTAAAAACAGTCCCCTGCACTTTCGGAATTGTGATTGTGTGTGAGCACGTGAGCGGTACAGAGTCGAGCCAAAGCAACAACAACAACAACAAATGAGGCATCTGGGACAATTTGGGATCTCTAGCTCTTATAGTCTCTAAGACCTAGGTGTTCATACGGACCGACTGGCAAACGGACAGACAGACAAACAGGGCTAAATCGACTCATCTTGTCATGCTGATCAAAATTTTTATACTTTGTGGGGTCTGCCACACCTCCTTCTGCCCTTTACTTTTAAATTTAGCACATTTTGTTTCAGTTAAGTGTTAAATGAAGTAAGCTTGTCGGTCAATAGGTCACAGGTTTGCCTAATAGGTTCAACAAATGTCATGATTGCATATTAAGTAAACACCAAAAAAAAAAAAAAACATTTAAACGAACTGCATTCATAAATCATTACAAATTAAAAATGCTTCCTACTGACATGTTTATAGAGAAAGAGATTGAAAAAAAAGCGCAAGTAACTTTTTCCAGCACATTCTGTAGAATTTCGTTTCATTTTCGTTTCGCCTCGAATGCCCTATCCTGCTGTTGTAGAAGTCCCACTCTCTTCTTAAATAATTTGAACAAACTTAAAATAATGATCCGAAATTCAAATACCTTATGCAAAAAGGAAATCTATTAAAGTGCCAAATTCCAAGTGACTTAGCGATTTGACGTGCCGATATGTTTTTGGCTTTTCTATCATTTTGGTTATCAAAAATTCCCGATATTTTTGGTTTAGTGTGGATATGTAGGAATAATAAAATTTTGAAACAAGAGGAATCAGTTACTCTGCTTTTTCAATAAGTAGTATGCTGGGAAATCCCGGATTTTGCTTAAGAAATCTTCAAAAAATGTGTTGCAAAATGAAAAATCGAAAAAGTGCATAAGTGGATGCATTGCCTTTTTCGTGTTTTTAAAAACAGCGACTATTTTTTTATTAAACTAAAATTAATAAAAAAAAACAAAAAAAAGAATTACATGGATGGATGCATTTTTAAAGATTTCATAGGCATAATAGATGAAAAGTGGTAAACACGTATCCACATATGCTCGCCACTGTACATAAAGCTTAACTGATATACAATGTAGTTATTGGGGTCCTGAGATTAGGCCACTGTTGGTGATAGAGCTGTGTAAAGGGCATCTTAAGTTCGAGCTGCGTTGCATCACTTTCAGCGTGTTATGTCGCTGCTCGCTATCAACGGCTTCAATAACAACAAGTGCCCGGCTGTCTGAGCGTAAACAACTAAATGATGGCTCTGGGTTGCTCACCAACCCCTTTAAGTAAAAAAAAAAAAAAACAACAACAACAAATCAGTCACAGCAACAACAAGAGCAAATAGCAGTGTGCCATGAAGACAGTTTTGATTGCGCATCTCTGGTGCCTTTACCGCAAAATATCAGAGGCACAACTAGCAGATTTATAGTACGAGTATGTCATAATTATGCAATTGACTGGGACCAAGCCCATTCCCATTCCCATCTCAACCCAGAGCCAACACACCAATCACCACAACAATAAGTGTTAATCTAATTAATTTTGATTAAACACCGGGAAGTGACGCAGCCCGAACCAAGTCGTTTCGAGTCCAGTCCAGCCCAGTCCACGCCTTCATGTATGTCTCGGCTAGGTCAGCTATCGTTATCACTATGGAAACTCACTGAGTCACATTTTGATTAGGCGATCGGGCCAGTTGATAACCTTGCCCCATTGTGTGGCGCGCGTTATAGAAGTGCAATTCTTTGTTCATTTCATTGTTGTGTCAGCGGCCTTCGCCAGTTCCCGTGTCCGATGCTCACTCTCATGGCTAATTAGTCATAGCTGCGGCGATGGGACAAATATTGGTATAAAATGAAGTGCTTGACTGGCTGACAGGCTCAACGACCCAAACCACGCACCCACATTGCCTTTGTGACGATCTACTTCGCGCTGGCAGAACGTCACGCATGCGCCAATCTTAGTACGTGTTGTAGGAGGAGACAGCCTTCAAGGTGCAGCGCACTTCAGATGAATTATTGACATCAGATGGAGAACAATGGCAATTATTTGGACTGTGCTCTACACAATTTATATGGTAGGCTTTCCGAGAAATGTTTCATGCGTTCCGAGAAAACCGCTTTTAGTGGGGAATTCTTTAAACATATGCAGTTCTAAAGCGTCTTTGCCTTTAAAAAAAAAATGGTGTCCCCAAGTGATACTAAATGACTCCCCCATGGTAAGGCAAAGTCAAGAAAAATCTACTGGCTCTTAGGACCACGCTCACAACTAAGCCTTGAGGACAAAATACGACCTTACAAGACAGTTCTAAAGGCAGTATGGACTTGTGCATTGCAGCGATATCAGTCTGTGACTCTTCGAACCATAACTGGTGCTCCCTGGTATACGATCAACCTCGACATACACAGAGATCTTAAAATACATCTCGTCATAAACTCAAATGCTGAGAAGTACATACAAGTAAATAGGCTACAAGACATGACAACGCATTAGCACTAGGTCTATTAGACTACACTCTCTGTCAAAGATGACTAAAAAGATTCCACAACCTAGATCTCCCATATAGACCACGATAGACAAATATACAAGGTGTGTTCCAAAGTAAACAGGACTTTTTTAAAAATAAATCAGACCAAATGGTTTTTTCGGCAAAATCAATTTATTTTTTTCAAAATAGTCTCCTTCTGCTTCAATACAGCTTTTTGCACGATCCAAAAGAATGTCGAACGAGTGTTTTAGCTCGTTGGCCGGTATGGCCGCCAGTATGCCGGTGCAAGCTGCGTCTGCATAACGCTTTCCTTTCATGGGCAAATGCATTTTTCCGAAAAGGTAGAAGTCGCACGGTGCCATATCAGGTGAATACGGCGAGTGGTTAATGGATAAAATGTGATTTTTGGTCAAATAATCGGTCACAAACGTCGATCAATGAGGGAACAAACCGTTCCCTAATGTTTGATCAAAATGCGATAAATCGATGTTTTGGAGATGTTTAATTCCATTTCCATCAATTTCAATGATGATTTCGGCTGATTGTTGATGAATTCACGCACAGTTTCGATGGAATTTTCGGTGATCACGATTTTTGATTGGCCCACATGTTGATCGTCATTTATGTCCTCACGACCACTTTGAAAACGTTGAAACCACTCGTGCACTCTGCTACGGGATAGGCAATCATCGCCATAAACTTGTTCCATCAATTAAAACGTTTCGCTAACAGTTTTACCAATTTTAAAACAAAATTTAATGTTGGCTCTTTGTTCGAAGGTCATTTTCGCACCGATAACACAAACATACTGACACTTAAAACGCAATCGATAAAATGTCATGATATTCTCACTGGACAATCGATAAAGATAGCAGATTCTAACCAGTCGACATATAGATAGCGCCACCAGGGGGCGCTAGATTCAAAAAGTCCTGCTTTACTTTGAAACGCACCTTGTAGAGTGGTCCAGTTACATTATTGGTGTTTCTTAATAGAACGGAACTTTATTTCACGTTTCTCTAGATTAAAACAAGTATGCGGGGAAATAAAACATTTTTTAAAATTTATACATATATTCGTATATAGCTTTTACACATATTCCGTTGGCGACCTCGTCCCCATGTAAGGGTTAGAAACGTGATAATGAAATCGAAAACCTGTACCATCGAAGTTGGGCGACTTTTTGGCAACGATAAGCACACGATTGCTGTCCACAGTAAACGTTTGCTGCATATTCGAGCCACATAGCGTTTTGATCAATTTGTTGGTGCCATCTCTCAATATCTGGTAAAACTTAATATTGTCCAGATTGCAATTGATCTCTGAGCCCATATCAAGCGCTTTAAAAAGGAATCTCATTAGTCAATTACTTGGACTATAAACATTAACATTAAGTTGCGAACCAAAGAATGAGAAGGTGAAGATGTTGCCCGCTGGCCCCGAAAGACGCCAATTACAGATGGAATGGTCTCGGTTGTCGTAGGGGGGATTGGTGAGTTCTCCTTCAAAAATCGTGAGGTTGCCGCCACACTCACCAACTGGAGTCGCATAGTAAAGAAAACCTATTGCATAAGCATTGAGAGTCGATATTCGCAAAGCATTTGTCGACGTGAATCTCGCCGTGCTGATGTAATGAGCTTGGGTCACATTGAAGATAGTACGGTTCGTCTGAAGATCTATCACCTGTTTTGGGCAAAATAATGATTAGTAAATTGGGCAAAAGGAAAAGTCTGCTGAGTAGACTCACAGTAAACAAATTGTTGGCTGACCAGTCCGTAAAGATTACGGATATTATGTCGATTGTTAATGTGTATCCAGAGGGCACTCGGATGTCGTCTGTGCAGTTGCTCTTACTCGATTTAAGGGCCCCATATACAATATAGTCACTCAGTGCGGTGAACGTTTGATTACATACTGGAAACAAGTTAACGCTTCAATAATGCTTCAATTCACTTCGGGAATGCACCTACAAGTATGTCAAATGACCTAACACGATGAGACTGATACTATACAGACACATAAGCACTAACCGGGCATAATTGTCAAAATTGCGGCAAAAGTTCGAAGTAACATTTTGTAATACACTTCTACTCTCCTCAGAATTTAGTGTCTCTAGCTCTTGTAGACTCTCAGATCGTCTTGTCATACTGATCAAGAATATATATACTTGTATGGTCTGTATGTACATACATTACAGGTATAGGTAATTATTATACTCTTATTCATATATTGAATAATACATAAGAATATATATAGGAGTATATAATTCAAATGTAATTTTCTCTTTTAATCCAGTGCTTTGAATAATCTCAATAGACCCCTTTTACACATCGTGTTCTGGGTATGATATTCTATTTTCCTTGCCATACGTTGATAGTTATTTTGTTTCTTTTTTGAAATATGATCTCCTTCCCTAATATAAACTTTGGAAACCTATTTCTACATTTTGTATCATTATGTTTCTATTGCGTATTTCCTTACTTGGCCGCTGTCTGACCTCCACTTCAAAGCCGTTTAATTCGTCTGATTCGAGATCATCGGTGTGGAATGTCAGATTGAAACTTGCATTATCTATGTTGGGTATAATCAATTTACTATTGTTAAAGTGCCCGCAGAAATATTTGGAAATCTGTTGGAATAAATTGTATTAGTAGAGCCCAGCAGTGAACAACTTTCTTACTTACATAAACTCCAGTAACTAATAGGTATTCGATACATTTTCCAGACGATTGCAGAGCTTCTGATAACCGCATCGATTTGAAGACGATCTCCAGCTCCTCGCTTGACTTAAAGTTCCAAGTGCAATGAATATTTCCAACAGAACGAGTTGAGTTTCCTGGCCACATATTCAATTTAATGGTCTTGTGAAACATAAATAAATGCTCAATTAATACACATTAGTTAAAAGTTAAATTTACAATGCATTTAAATTATCAAGTTTACTTTACTTTATCCACTTTGCAAAATCAAAGTGATAAGCTGCTGTTATCGTTTTTGGAAAACTTGATTTAAATATGTAAAACTAGCAGGTATTGCCCGTCTTAACCCGGCTCAATATAATGTTTCCAATTGTATTTATTTTGTGTGTGCATAACCTTCCCATATGCTTTCACCCTTTAAGTTACCAGTAGGAAGGCATTTAAGGTATTTAAATGAACATTTTCTGTTCTTGACAAAAAATTGTTCAGTAGTCCGTTACATTTTTGTTCTTGTCAAACTATTTCGTTAAACGAACATGACCACTATAACTAATATTTTTTAAAGCTCGTTTTCCCCCCTTTGGAGCTAGAATTTTCCAAAAGCCTTTCTTAGTGTGCTCCTACACTATGATGGATACTATGAAAGGATACTTGAGTCAAAATTTCATCTTTTACCGTTTGGGCTGTGCGTTGATCACCAATTAGTCAGGACAAACTGTTTTATATATAGAGAAACCGCAACGTTTTACGATAGACTATGTGCAAAAAAAGGGGAATAATTATAAGGGTATATCCTAATTTTAAATTCCCATTTGAGTCTTTTCGTGCCATATTGAGTCAATACGATCACGCACAAACTCGGAATATGAAACACGGCACACGTGTCAATGCCGTGCAGCGATGAGCCACGATCAAAAAGCACTGACAATTCTCATCTCAATTTGCTAGAGTAAGACTTTCGATAGTTGAAGCCACCGATAGCATCAAAATATCGAAGTTTGAATGGAATAAGCTGAATATTTAAATAATAAAATCTAATTATTTATTGAGATCAATAAGAACAAATCATATACATACATACATCTGCCCGCAATACGAAGCAGAATATGCGTAGCTCCGTTATTCGGTTTCTGCTTTACTATCGCTTACGCAGTCGTTGCCTAGCGACGGTAACTGTAACATTTTGGCGTTTTGCCTTTGCAATTAACATTAAATGGTCAAAACGAAAGAAGAAGAGCGAGCTAATGACTTGCAGTTGTTGTTGTTTTTAGAGCATTATTTTTTTTTACAATCAAACAACTGTGTTCGATTGCCCAATGTATACATTAATACGAATGTACATACATGCTATATTCATACACAGGCATACATATGTTTCTCTTTACTTTTTCAACCGTACGTAGAGAACCGCACACATAGACACGAACTGTTGCTTGTTGTGTGTGAGTGTGTGTATGTGATGTCCCCAACTATTTGGTATTTGTTGTTGCTGCATAAAGTTATTAATGAAAACACTAATGCCAAATGCACTAAACAAAGAAAAAATTACTTTAAAAAATGTTATATAATTTTCAATTAATTAACATTTCTTGCTCTGCCAGTGCAAGACGAATGTACAAACATACACATGTAGATACATATGTACATACATAGATGTGCACATATGTATGTATGTATGGACATTCACACAGTGTCTCACATGTTGCTTTGGCTATTTCAATCGTTTGCACGCAACTACACGAACAGCTGTTTGCATGTGTGTGTGTGTGTATGTATACTTAGTTGTCCCCAACTGTTTGATATTTTGTATTGTTTGTTCTGCCTGCTTTTGTAAAATGCATATTTTGAAAATCCTTGAATGCAAAGTTGTAGATTTAGTTACGTAGATTACATTATCCAAATTTTAAATCGATCGGACTAAATTTATAACACAAACTTTTCATTTGAAATAGTGAATAAATATTAAAACCCCAATAAATCAAGCTCCAACAAAAAATTTTAAAAACCGAGTATGCAGTTTTCTTTGTATTCTTTAATTGATTTTAGAAACTAAGTTTTAAGTCGATCGGTTGAAAAATGCGGATTTTTCAAACAAACTTTGGAGCTATTTTTCCCCCCTTTGGAGCTCGAATTTTCCAAAATCCCTTCTTAGTGCTCATCTACACCATGATAGGATACTTGAGCCCAAATTTCAGCATCCTAGCTTTTACCGTTTGGGCTGTGGGCTGTTGACGCGGTTTGCTTTTGTGCCCCAACATCAACATCAAAAAACCAAGTATACAGTTTTTCTTGGAATTGTTCTGAGAGTATACAAACTAAGTTTAAAGTTAATCAGATGAAAACTGTAGATTTTTCATACAAACGTTGGAGCCTGTTTTCCCCCCTTTGGAGCTCGAGTTTTCCAAAATCCCTTCTTAGTGGGGACCTAGACTATGAAAGGATACTTGAGTCCAAATTTCAGCTTCCTAGCCTTTACCGTCTGGGCTGTGCGTTGATCACCAATCAGTCAGTCAGTCAGTCAGGACAAACTGTTTTATATATATAGATGTTGTATACTTTTTAGCATCATTTGATTATTAATTATTATTTGATATTGAACTAGAGATGGACATGGGCCATACATATTTTTAACTTCGAATTTGTATTAAAGAATATGTACTCATCTATATTTGATCTAAGAAGCCGACCTCGTAGCTTATTTAAAATTGACAATATGTCTTGATATTTGCCTTAGCAATTTCAATTTTTTTTACTTTTTCACAAACAAATTTAACACACAAATTCCTGGATCAACAGCACTATATATATACTTGTAGGTATATATTTTAAAATCTATTCTTGACCTGCCCAGAAAATTTCTTTTGCATTATTAGTTTCCAAAAATTAAGAAAAGTCGTGTTGACTATTTTTTTTATTACTAGAGCTGTTACTTTTTTTCGTGTTATATTCGTGTTTTTTCGTGTTTGCTTGTGCGTGTTTTATCGTGCCTTTTTAACTTAACATGAGCACGCACGGCCATGCTCGAAAACGGAATTTAAAACACGAACACGCGGGCCCACGTATGGCATGAAGTGCCACGACCGAAAACACGGCCCGTGCCCAACTCTATATTGAACCGTACGGTGTAACCGAAAAATTTGGTCCTTGTTCAAATAAACATTTGTACGAGTAAATTAAATAAAGGCTATTTAAAAAAAATGTCCAACACTTTACTTTAAGAGCACATATTACCTAGCTTTTAAATGAGGAATAGGAATATTAATCTGAAAACGAATTGAAGCCGGGTCTCCCGACTTTCAAATACTATACTCTGTACATATGTGTAGAAAAATTATAGAAATTTAAAAAAATTACGAAAATTAACTAAAAAGTAAAATACAATGTTCAGCGATGTGTGTTTGTGTGAGAGCAGGTTTGCAGTACAGAATTGAGCCAAAACAGCAACAAGCTGCGGACAGCGCTTGGACAGAGAATACAATTATGGCTATAACTTCTTTTCGAATTGACCTACATTGATGAAACTTGTCGCAGGTCACATTATCCCTAAATAGAGGTGTTCACCAAATATGAGTCAAAAGAATTCCAGGAATTACTGTAGTTATAGAATATCACTAATATCGGTAGAGAGAGGGGAGGGAGGGAACTTCTGAAATACACATTTTCTGCGTATTCATTTAAAATTTGGGGTTCCTAGCTCCTATAGTCTCTGAGATATTGGTGATTATACCAACGGCGTTTCCAAAAATCCAAACCATCCAAACCCATTATCGGGGAAAGTGGCGGGAAAAATCAAAAAAATAAGACAAACTTGTAATATAATCTTAAACATTTCTGTACAGAGTATAAAAATTGAATTACGCAAAATAAATAATTGTGCCCTCCCCTCTTTGTTGATAGTTCAAAGTCAGATGAATATAAACACTTATGTATGTACAGCTTACTTACATCATTCCAGCCGACCTCGTACTGTGTTTCCCCACAAACTGTTCTCTCCATCTGCAAATTCAGCTCGAAATGCAGGTGCCCGGCCTGCTGGCCACTCAGCTTGATCATAACATCCTCGTAGGAGCTGAAGAAGGTCGTGCGATTGCGCTCGAGTCTATAGTACTTTCCCATACTGTTGCTTTCGGCAACCACACTATCAATTATCTCTAAATAATTGCATGTGGCACAGGAGTCGTCGTTCAGCAGTAGATGTCTGAGCTCCACGTTTATTCGATAGCCGGCAGGAGCGGTGACCGTGAAGTAGCAGATCAGCTCTTCGGTGGTATTAACCACAAAGTTGCGTACCAGACTCATTTGCTCGGTGCCTTCGTAGAGCGCCAAACGCTCGTTACAGTTTTGAATGAAGCGCACGCTTGCCGCGAAGCCTTTGAAGCTAATGCTGCTATCGGAGCGCGCCACTATCAAAGCCTGTCTGCTGTCCACAATAACAGTGGGTGGAGATACCGTCAAATTTCCACATAAGCGGGATACGCGCTGATCGTCAGTCTTTAGGGCGCCCTTGTAGATGTTCACATAGTCTAGTTGACAGTCACGACTCTCCTCTATATGGAAGTACTTGAACCTGACTAGCACTGCATGCTCGGGTGGGGCTGTGACACGCCACTCGCAATGCATATCATGTGCGTAGGTGGCCGCCACTTCGTCCTGCGGCGGGCGCAGCTCGAAGGGGCCGCTGAAGTTGCCGCCGCAACTAAGCATTTGGTACTCGATTTCAAAGGGTCGCTTCATGCCAGATGTGTAGTGCAGATGTACACGTTGGTAGCCACTAACTTCAAAGTCCTGACAGAATCTGTCGATGAGCTCCTTCTTGTCGTAAACATCCTTGTATGCGGCGATAGCATTTGTGCAAGCTGTGCTTTTTCTGGGTCGACGACTTTTAAAAGTGACTCGCACTAGAATCTGCTGATCCGGTGCATTGCTTAGGAAGTCATAGGTACAGGAAAGCATGCGCCCATACATGCGCCTGTCGAGTCTTAGGCCAGCATACTTTTGCAGTTGGGCTGTGGGATGCAGCACGACATCGCAACTGCTAGATACAACAAAGCTAAAGCCATCTCCAGTGATATTAGCATTGGTGCGGAACACAACTCGCATGCGTTCCGCTTGAATCGACATCTTTGGAGGAGTCTCGCGGCCACAAAACGTGGCCTGCGTTCGCCAAAGTCCAGCCTGAAAGCTCAGTACCTGCAACTGATCGTGACTGCAATGTTGCGACTCTTCTATAAAGAAACGTCCTTGGAACTCCAGTACTATCGACAGGCCTCGGTCTACTGTAAACTCCCAACTGCGTTCCATATTATTCTTGTAGCTGAGTGCATCGATCTGAATCGGTTTCGTTGGCCTCATCATCACTCGAATATTTCTGCTTCCTTCACTTGTGCGAGCTACTAGGCTGAACTGACTCTGGCCAGGCTGGTAGGAGGTTGCGTGATACAACAGCGTTATCGGCATTGCCTTTAGTGGTGCTAAGTTGTCCAGTTGTCCCATCCCACGACACAGTCGGAACAATTCGGTAGCATAGGCGCGCATGCCAGTGTAAGCAACCAGGTATTCACGATCGCAACTGTCGCTCAGGCTAACATTTCCTGACAACGTGTAGTCGCCGGATTCGTATTGAGGATTCAGCGTCCACACGCATTCCAATTCGCCGTAATCAGAGTCTAGATCATTTATCAACCGCGGCTGTTCCACAACCGTCCCGTCGGTCAACTGCAGTTGGGCACCGCAGGCATGACGTTGGTAGGTAGCCTGGAACTGCTTTAGTTGAACAATGTCATTGGATACTAGGGTTAGTCGACCCTTAGAGGCAGACACTGATACGCGGCCACTGGTCATGTTTTGATTCATCAATTTTATGGGGGTATGACCATCTAGAAATTTCACTGCCGGCCCACCTTTCGTTTGGAAAAGGTACTCCTGTACCGTAAAGGTGAGTGTCTCGTCGGGCCCCGCCACGAACATAATCTGGCAGAAGTAACTTTGGAAAATAGTCAGAGCATTAATTGATATCATACCAGTGCTCTGGTCGTCAATGTTTGGCGGACAAGGCGATGTCTGCACTGAACTAAAGCGCGCCCGTAAGGTAATGCCGTCCAGAGAGATTCGCGCCAGTGACATTTTTACCAGCATAAAGTTATCTGTAGAATCGATAGTTCCGTTCCCAGTATAGTTAGCCAAGTTAAACTCCGTAATCTTGGACATCTCAGTGTCATCATTAAAGAACGTGAACTGCTGCGTTGGACGCATCAAGGAGAAATACAATAGCGGCCTGCAAATTATATACGTACGGCAAAATTTTTAAATTCCGTAAAGCCTTATCACCTAAATTTAAAACTAATATGATTGTAAAAATAACCCAAACATCAATACTTAATTAATTTTTTTTAGCTGTATCCAAATCGTGCGTATATACTATATTTTCGGTCCATGGTCAGTTTTTATAAACAAAACAAAGAGCTTGGGCAGGAATAATAGTAAAATAACAAAAATAAATAATAATAAAATAACATTTATGGCCATTACTTCATTTCTAATTGATCTATCAGAATGAAACCTAATGTAGCCACTAACTGGACTACTACTACTAACTACCAAATTTGAGATCCAAATTCCAAGAATTAGGTGAGTTGTAGAAATCCATGAAGAGAGTGGGAGGGCCCTTTCTCGGGCTTAGGAGAATCTGGATACCAAGTTTGGTTATTCTAGCTCTTATACTTTCTTCTTGCGTTCATACAGGCAGACAAACAGACAGACATGGCTATATCGACTCGTATTGAGCAAGAATATATATACTTTGATGGGTCTTCCATGCCTCCTTCTGTGTGTTACATGTACACTCTCGCACAAAACTAATATACCCTTTGGGTACAGGGTATAAACACTCATGTTGCGTAGGTATTAGGGGGGTCTACATAGCTAGCTTCGTCTTCTGGCTTTCCGAAAAGCATGCGTTTATACAGACAAACTAACGGACGGTCATTTCTAGATCGGTTTCTCTCTTCATATTGATTAAGAATATATGTATACTTTATGGGCTCAAAGATTCTTCCTTCTACAAGTAAATACATTCATACTTTGCACAATTTAAACTTGTTCCCGTCTAATTAGGCAATCGGGAATCCCGCACAGAACAAAATTACTGGGTTTTAATCTAACCAGATTTTTCAAAAAACCTTCTCTGAAGATATGCATGAAAAGTTTTGGCCTGTTTATAGTTCCTACTCGTATATGAGTTAAAAAGTAACATGCTATACAAGTATATTCTGAATAAACACATACCGGGTAACATTTCGGACAGCTCTCGGAATTTCTGCCAGATTTAGATACTCCAGGCGCACGCGTTGACCCTTGGGTACTTCAATACGCCAACGACAAATTGCAGCCGTTGACAATGACATATGCTGCCTCGGTGTAATGCTCAGAGTACCAGATGGGGCTTTGACGTTGTGGTAGCATATGTCATACAGTCGGGAATACTGCAGCTTGAAACCACGATATGTATTCACTGCCTTGACGGTAATGAATCGAAGTACAATCTCGTTGCTATTTAAAGTAAAGACGGGCGGTAGTGCACTCCCATTACCATACAGCACCATTAATGGCTCGTCCATATTCGTCAGATCAACAATCTCAATGCGATCGGTGGCATTTGGCCCAGCAGTATTATTGTAGGGCAGGTGCAGATCAGTAAAGTTAAGCTGTATACGCGTATTCCGGTTCGTTTTAATACTATACTCGCAAATGGCAGGGGTCGGATAGGCACCCAATGCCGGATAATGTTCGGAGGTTATTATGCCCAACGATCCTGTGTATTCTCCACCACAGCTACTGATGGACACGTTCAAGCGGAACCCTCCGCGCGGCTCTACAATATTCGTTAGATAATGCACAAGAAGGACGTTTCCTGTGCTGCGAATGGACACATCCCCGACGGGTTTGCGACAGGTACGCAGTATGCGTTTCGCCAACATCGTGCTCCCGTCGTATAGCTCCACATACTCTTCATTACACTGACGTACGTTCAATTCGAAGCGGTCAACGAAACGAGCGGTGATGGTTTCACCTTGGGGTGCAATAACCACCCAACTGCATTCGGAGTGCGGGTGGGGAACGAAGGGGTAGCCGGGCGTACTGATGTTATAGGTACTGGCTAAGGACGTTAGGCGTATTTCGCCATCGCATTCGCTAAACTCGCGGTAGGTAAGATTCCACAGCTGTGGCTGTGGTTTTCTAAAAGCTCTAGGCAATATGTACTTGATGTAGGCATGTGAGCTGCTGGTGCGATAGGAGCGCGTCGCAAATCCTTGTTGATTACAGAACTTTCCACCATTAAGAAGCGGTGCATGCTCATCTAAGCCGTCATAGATAAGACCATAGAATGGGCAGCTTGCGTTTACTATATCACCCGCATAGTCGATGCTTATCTCAATACTACGGCCGGGTTTAACCTCAATGTGCCAAGCACACTCCGGAGTGACCAATCGCGATCGTAGGATGTGTTTGTCCAGTATAGTTCCAACCGAGCCAGTCAAATTGGAGCCGCAAACGGCGATTACTTCGCTCTTGAATCCAGTCCGATTGACAGTCTCATCGGTTTTAAATTGCAGTTGAAGATATGGCGTGCCGTGAATAGTGTGAATGGGAGAGAGATCTGGAGAAGTGCTATTGCAGATGTCAAGTTCTTTGTGCCAATCCTTCATATTACTCGAAGATTGTATTCGCAGGTAATCGGCCTCACACTGGCTGATGGTCTCCAATCTGGCGTCGTAAATATCGACGAATACGTGTTGTGTAACATCCGCGGGAATAAAGGTCCACTCACAGTTTAACTTGGGCTTATAACCATTAGGATAGCCCGGAGATGTCAAAAGCATTCGTGAATTAAATGACATTGTATAGGTCTTGTCGCACTCTGTGCTCTTTGCCGTCGCATTTTGTACAAGTTCTTCACTGCTGATGGCGTGCCATTGCAGTAGGAAAGCGTCGAAGTCCTCATTTGTTGTCTTAAGGTAGATAACGTTACTGCTGGAAGTAAACTGCCATGGGGAAGAAAGGGCTACCGGCAAAGCTGTATCATCAAAGCCGTCGAAAAGCTGAAAGAGGATGCACATTTTTATCACTAATCCAAACATTGGGTAGATTATATGTTGATCGAAATTAGGAAAACACAGAAATGATCAGCCAAGGTCAAGTTATCTTCGACACACTTTAAACTCTCACCAAAAGTCCAGTGTTGTATTCCTTAATATTCAAGACTATACGTTTTCCCCGCTCCATATAAATGCGCCAGCTATAGGGCTGGTCATCGTTATTCACGGCTACTGTCGGCGGCCCTTCGATTGTGCCATTGCTCTCTGTTAACTCGTTGTCGTACACTGCAATAAAAGGACTTCATTAACAAATCCACCATTTTCAAGATCTTCGCCATAACTCACCGTAGTTCCATTTAAGTTTAAAACCATTGGCCGTGTTGCCCGGCAGACTGCGAAATTTGATCCAGACGCGACTTTGTGCGGTTAGCGATGATGCAGGAACCTCATTGTCGCAGTACAAGCCCAGCAAAGGCCCGCCCTCACCAATACGTAACTCTAAAAAGTCCTCATTGCAGTGTGCCGAACTGACAATGTCCAATGCCTCAAAGTTTAATTCAAGGGCATTGCCCTGCCGTGTCTCCAGCCACCAAATGCACTCTATATTTGAGGGATACGTGCCGGGATAGTTTGGAGATGTGAGCGTACCTCGTGCTGACGTTATGTTTCCGCCGCAAGAATTTTCCACAGTTGTATATTGAGCCAATAAATTGATTCCGGTTGCCATTATCCGTACGTTATTTGTGGAAACTAAAATATTAGCAGGGTGCTCCAAGCATAGATCGTAAAGTAGAACCTCATCTTCATCGTTAAAAATCCGAAGTCCCGATGTACAATTTCCGGCCGTCGGGCACTCACACTCTAGATTGTTAATTATTAAACTGACCTTGGCGCCCTGCGATGCCGCAATTAGCCAACGACAGTCCTCATCCAAACGCGACTTCAAATAGCCATCGGCGTTGCTTAACAAGCCACCGCATTGGCGTTCAAAGTGCAGAGAAAATCGGCCCCAAGTGCCAACATCAGCTTTGAAATGGACTCTCAGGCGTGATCCGTGCACTATCCGGATGAGTGGCTTGGCAAGGTCGCACGCTTTTTCCAAGAAGACATCGCTGCCGTCCTCCTCTAGCTTCCTCAGCTCCACAAATGCCGAACGGCAATTGGGCGAATCGGTCAGATTGAACTGCTCGAAATTCAGCCTAATGCCATAGCTATTGGGTACTTCCACAGCCCAAATACATTCCAAATTATTCGCATAGCGGCCTTCATGGTAACCGGGCGTACTAATGAATCCACTACTGGCAGCTATATAGCCCCCACATGATGCCGGCACAAGTGCATAGCTGGCCTTAAAATATTTTCGCGCACGGATTTGGCCACTGTGAAATTGTACATAGAGTGTATTACCTGGCGACTGGAATGTCTGCGCAGAGGTCTCTATCTGGCAGCTGCGGAATAGCACAGCTGAGGTATTCGGGGCCGCAGACACAGTCAGCACATCTTCGCTGCAGTCTCGCTGAGGCGTCTCAATATGGATTTCCTGTAATATTAAACGTATTTGCTGGCCCTCCGGTGCCACAATAACCCAATCACAGTCCAGATCCACACTGTATGGCGCATTAGGCGAGGCAAATTCTCCTCCAAAGTCCCCTTCGAGATGCTCCCCACAGCCGATACGTTTGTATTCGGCTCTAAACCCATGTGCATGTGCCGAGGAGTCGCTGGAAAATCGAACAAGTAATCGATTTCCTTCACTGGTAATGGGCGCATCACTGATGCAAAGATGCCGTTGACTCAATTGCTCCTCATTTCGCATATCAATAACCTCCACATAGTCGTAGTCGCAATCGGTTGGTGAAGATCGCTCCACGTCCAAATGGGAAAAGGCCAGGTGTATGTGATTGTTGCGACCACCGCTGCGAATATCCCATTCGCAATTCATACTGGGCGGGTAGTTTTCTGGAAAATTGGGTGACTCGATGGCGCCGTTCAGTTGGTCCAATTGCACGTGACAGTTGGTGCTGTAGTCAATTACAAAAAAGATACCGTCAACTGCATCGTGGTCAACATTGTAGCGCACAAGAACCCGATTACTGGTAGAGACAATCGTTAGCTCTCGTTCCGTCTGGTTGCAAATAAGCGGCAGTACAGGGCCTTGCGTTGTCTGCCCGTCATATATAGTCAGTTGTCCGTTGCACAGAGTGTCATCTGAAAGAAGACGTTCAAGCTTCAATTCCACTGTAGAACCTTGGGCCACTATGATTTGCCAATCGCACGACACAGCGCCGTTGTTGTTCTCCATCGAATGGGGCGAGTGTATGGCACCCACATGCGAAGTCAACTTGCCACCGCAGCCAGTCTCGGCCACTTGCCAGGTCATGTAGAAGCCAGCGTCTTGTATATAGCTATCTGAGTGGAAGCTCACATAGAGACGATTTCCGAAGGAGGGTATGCGTGGAGGTATTCGTTGGCCACAGTAACGACCAATAAGCGGAGACAAAGCCATATCGCCGTTGCTGTGGATAATACAAATTGCATTATAAAATAATGGAACTTGAAAACAAAAAGACGCGACAAACCGAATCTCCAAGTAGTCATCTGTGCACAAATCTGAGGTTGTCTCCAGCGTGAAATTCCTGACTACTAATTCAATTTTGGAACCCAAGGGCGCCGTCATCACCCAAATGCAATCCTGAGAAGCAGCATAGTTTTTAGGCCAATTGGGCGATTTTATAACTCCGAAACGGGAATTAAAAATGCCCCCACATGCTGTAATATTTTTTGTTTATTTACAAGTATTTATAGGATACAAATGCCTAGGCTCACACAAAATCGAGTCTTTTAATTAAAATGACAAAGCGCAAATAAGAAAACCTCAGATAATAATAATAATACTTTGTATAAATGATCAGTATGGGTGAGATTCTAAAATGTACTATCAAATATTATCCATTAAAACAAATTGTGCACCGAATTTAAAAAATACATTTGGCTTTTTAATTGCAGTGCAGCAATACGTACTTACAAGTAATCCGATTTACAAAGATGCATTTACTTACAGTTTTCTGTTATTGCGTCGTATTCCAAACGCATTTGGAAAAGTGGAATCTGATCCGATCTATCTTCAGGACCCACAGTTATTGTTAAAAGATTTACGTCATAGACTTCATCTAAACTAAATATATTCGGTATGTTGTCGACTCTATTTGAAATATAAAGTAATATGTTAGAAATCGTCTCGATTTAACACTTATTGCCTTATACCGTTTTAGCAGTGTGCCAGTAATATCATTGCCGTCAAATAATTTCAAGTTAACAGGAAACAATTCCCCGTTTTTGATAAACCTACTCCTGCTTATATCGATTTTGAGACGCTTGCTTCCAGACGACTCTATGACCCATCGACAATATTGTCCATGAAGTAATTTCGAAAAATGGCCCGATGGTTCAGTTAGGACTCCTCCGCATTTGTTCTGCTCGAAACTATACTTTACTCGCAAGCCACGCCTGCGAAGATTGTTAGTAGCACCATGGAACACCAGGCGCGCTTGGTTGTTGCTGGCCACCAAGACCATGTTGGAAAAGCTCTTGTAGAAACGACGCTTTTCGTCACGAGCAAGATATACCTATCAAGTCCACAATAAGTCAACGATGCTAAGAGGGAAGCAATTTAACTTACGTCCAGGTAGTTTGTGTCCGATTCATCGTAAATAGGTTGGTCTTGGCTATCGTCGTCTGCCATATTGGGCACCGTCTCACTTATGGATAGATCAGTGATATTTAACTGAACCGTAGAATCCAACGGACCTACTATGTTGAAGGTGCACACCGTGCGCTCAAAGTATGTGTTTGGATAGTTCGGAGTTTGGATAATATCTCCGTCAGCATCTGTGTAGTTGCTGTTGCAAACTGAAATTAAAGAAGAATAGAGGCTAGAGGTTAGAGGTTAGAGACGTGCGGGCCCGAATCTTAAAACTCTTCTTCAATGTTATTCTTTAGAAAAATTTTTAAATGTTTATCAATTAATATGTACTATAACACCTATATATGTACGTACTTACATTTATTAGCATTAAACTAAGTAGTGTACACTTTTTATACCCTGTACCCGTAGGGTAAAAAGGGTATATTAGGTTTGTGCAAAGTATGTAACATGCTGAAGGAAGCATCTCTGGCCAAATAAAGTATATATATTCTGAATCAGCATGACGAGAGAAATCCGTCCCTCCGTCTTGGCGTCTGTCCATCCGTCTGTCTAGATGAACGCAAGGATCTCAGAGACTATAAAAGCTAGAATAACCAAAGTTGGTATCCAGATTCTCCTAGGTCCGAGAAAGGACGAGTTCATTTTATTTTTTTGGAATTCTGGGTACAGGGTATTTCACTCTCGGGCTTGCTCGACTGTAGCGTTCTCTCTTGTTTTCATTTGGTACGGTATAAGTATACAGTATGTATATTTTTAAAAGGAAAAATTCTGAATAGTTCATCAGAAGCACGACAAATCAGTCAGAATGAAAACTAGCAGCACCGCTCGTACTGATCTTAAATACTTATTCAAATATTTACCTGCATAAGTCTACTGACTTCGGGCTATAGCTGAATTAACTTTCAGATTCTTAAAAAGGTTATTTTTTATGTTTATAAGCTTGTAATTCTATATTAGTCTTATATCTTGTTCGACAAATGTTGGTAAGTTAGCTGGGCCTTTTCTAAGAAATTGTTTCTTTATCGATTAAAGCGATACAGTTGAATTTAGAAACAGCACACTACAACCTATTAGAGCCTAGGGGAGGTAATGCCTCCATTTGATTCAATAAGCCTATATCAGATACATACTTTGTTGTAAACGTGATATTTGTAGCCCTAATTGCTTATCATATGATTATTTAGAAACTCACCTCTGCTATAGCTTAGCTCAAAACTGCGATTCACTTCCAAACCAGCTAGCTCGTACTCGTAGCGCAGCAACACAGCATTGCCAGTCGAAACTAACGTTTGCTTGTCCTCAGGCTGTCCGCAATACCGTTCTAACAGTGGTGATTCGGTATTTCGTCCATTAAATACCTCCAACTTTTGCAGGTGGCAATTTTCGGATGTTAGGAAGTTAATGCGGTTGAAAGTCAATTGTATCTGGAAGCCATCGGGCTGCTCGATAAAGTACAGGCACATGGGGGAGTTCATGTATCCGCTAATGATACCTCGGGGTTCGTGGAAGGTACCACCACAGCCTGGAAGTCCAGGCACTACCTCGTAGTGGAGCTGAAAAGCGCTGTCTGATTGGTAACTATCTGTATGAAAGTCAATGCGCAGCTCACTTGTTGAGCTAAGGAGCGGGGCAGGCTGTGCAGAGCGACAAACAGAGAGTAGTTGTCTGTCCGATTCGTAAATAAGAAGGGAGTCTTTGCTGCAGTCGGAATCTCCAGTTGCGCCTAGAGTAACATCATAGAATCGCAGCATTATGCGACTACCGTAAGGTGCTGAAAGCTGCCAGCGGCAATCAGCACGTGGTCGTGTCTTTCCAGGGTAGCCTGGAGAACGTATTACACCCGTACTCGAAGCCAGTAACGTCAGCTCCTCTCCACACACATGCGGTAGCGAACTCCAGGTAAAGTTGAAGCCTCTTGCCTGTGTCGCATTATCCGACCGGAACCAAAAGAAGAGGAGCTCGTGCGTGGACAGTAAGCTACCATTACCCAATGGTAGCTGAGAGCCACAGAAGCGTCCAATAACGCGAGCAGCCAGGGAGTTGCCATCGTGCAGTTGCAGAAAGTCTGCGCTACACTCGGCGCCATCTTCAGATGGCTGTAAATCGAAGGCTTGAAATGTCACGTTCAGCACTTTCCCTGGTGTTGTTCGTATGATGAAGGCGCAGCGCTCATCTGGCTGATAGCTGTTCTCGCCTCCGCTTGGATACTGCAGTGTTCCATTCTCACCGAGCAATATGGCGCCGCAATATTGACGCATATTGGCGCAGGTGGTGCCTGTGTAGCCGATTGAACAGCTGCACTGCTGTTTGTTGTTGGGCAGTAGTTTGCAGGTGCCGCCATTTTGGCAGGGATTTGGATGGCAGGCATCGGCCTGTTCACACAGCGGTCCCATGTAGCCGGGTTGGCAGATGCAGCTGGTGCCGCGACCGCTCAAAACGCAAGTGCCGTTATTTTGGCAAATGTGGCGTTCACATGGCTCCTGTGAGGCATCTGCAGTGCAGCCGTCAGCTCCATAGCCATGCCCATAGAATCCCACCGGGCAGGTGCAGACCATTGTGTCTGAAATGTACTCGCACTGGGCACGTGGATGGCAAACGCCTTCGCCGTTGCATAAATTAGACTTGGCCTGGACACAGCTGTGTCCGTCGCCCGACCAACCTACCGGACAACGACCGCAACGGTAGGAGCCCTCCGTATTTATGCAGGCTACTAATGGGCGTTGACTGCAGCCCCCATTATTAGTGGCACACTCGTCTATGTCGCGACAGAACCTACCGTCACCGGTATAGCCCGTGGGACAGGCACCACAACGGAAGCTGCCTGGAAAATTGATGCACTCATCATGGCAGGGGTTACGATCGGGAGCACATTCGTCCACGTCGCGGCTGCAAGGTGACGAGCTTGCCACACTCACATTTGACGCCCATGTCCAGCCCTGATCACAGATGCACACATAGCCCTCAGTGTTTGTCGAGGAAATGCAGGTGCCATGTCCACATAGCTCTCTAGACTGATTTGCTAGGCAAATGTTATTTTGCAGACGACAATGGGCGCCCGAATAGCCTGAACGGCATAAACAACTGGAATAGCAAATCGAATAATGGAGCTTCACGGCCAGAAATAAAGTCATTTGAATCACCTACCGATAGCTGCCCGGAGTGTTTATACACTGACCATCATTCATGCAGCTTTCCAAGTCGGTGCCGGAATTATCCAAACATTCGTTTACATCCTCCTCGCATGTCGTTCCCTGCCAATATCAGCAATGCGTTTTATATTGACTCTACCAATGGCTTAGAATTGTAAGTCTGAAAGCTACTCTCTGCTCAATTTTAAGTCCAGTATTTAACTTTAGTTGAGTTTAACTCTAGTTTTGGGATTTCATATGAAAAGCACAAAGAAGTTGTCTTCCGATACTATGTACTATGTCTTCTTCATACTATAGTAGGTAATAGTACTATCTATATATAGATTTCACCGGTCACAAGGTTTGTGGCCAATAGAGCTACTAAACAGATTTAAATCAAATTTCACATGTACCTGTATTTGTTCTAACTTAAAAGATAGGATAGTTTTTATCTCAATTATTTAGGCGGAGTAGGTTATTTCTACATATTGCTCGGGACCCTCCAAAAAATTGAAAAAAAATGCAGGCTGAAACAGAGTGTCGAGCTAATGTTAGTTAGTTCTTACAGTGATAAACGATAGTATCTGTGTTTGCGGGAATAAGAAGTATTCAATTACCGAATATAATAATGCCGCCGAAAGAATCAAACCTTAGTAATGTGTGTAGCAGAACTGAAATTTACGAAATCAGATCTGATAGGCGTAATTTTGAAACGACACTCAAAATCAAAAGACAAGTTTATCATAAGATTGGGTCACCAATGCCGATGCCTAATGAGGATCCAAAATTTCTTCAATTTTATGGGCAGTTGTGAGGAACGTGTGACAACTCGATGTCTGCATAATTTCATAGAAGAAGCAGAAAAGAGATCAATTGTAGAATCATTGGAAGTTTTTTTAATCAACTTATTCAGTTGTTTAAAAGAGTATAGAAATGGCAATTGTCATCAAAGCCAATCGTAGATGAAGTTGTTATTATTATTATTATGGTTGGTGATCCAGCTCGCAACAGACACATCAGAATCACACGTCGAGACAGAACTGGTAGTTTGATTTCAGATCTAAATCGTACGTATGACGCACTTCAGTATCCCCTAATATCTGGCAAGGGAAAGATGAGTATCAACCTAAAACTGGTACGTAAGTAATCAACTTTTTAATGCCATATTTTGGTGATTTTAATTAACTATTCTCAATGTTTCAATTAAATTTTTACATTTATCAACTATTTAAATAAATCACAAGGTCAAACAATGTCCATTTGTGGTATGGACATGTCGGCTGCTCCCATGTGGTAAACCCATCAAATTTAGTTATGTTGGCAAAATTGTCAATTTTAATGAATTAAAATAAAAAAGAAATTATTTAACCTACTGTAAATACTGAGCCACAACACGTAACACGTGGCTGGATCAGCTAGTACGTATATAATTTTATAAAGCCAATTCGATTTATTTTGTGTTCAGTATACTTTCATTACTAATTGTTTTCTAAATTTATTCCACGTTTGGTCGACCAGACCCACAAATTAGGCAACATCGTTAGATATGAGAAATAATATCACCTTTTCACTTTTAGGGAATACTATGCATAATAATGTGTATATTACTACGGTACCGAAGCATAAACTATTATTAACATAAATATTGAACTTCAAATCCAATCCAAGGCTAATCAAATTGTTAGACACACTCAAAAGTGACTATCCATAATACTAGGCTCCTCGCATTCGATAACAAGGCATACGCCCCTCGCCAAGCGTTTAGCAGACGCCCACTCTCTAAACTTACTTGCCATCCGGCCGTACAGTCGCAGTGGAATGATTTGTAGTCATCGTAACAGGTGCCCCCATTCTTGCAAGGCATCGACTGGCACTCGTCAAGGGCCAAGTTCCTCTCCAGCACCATTACAGCACCCGTCACCCTCTGCACTCTCTGGAGATCACGACGGAGCACCCGTTGGTTGGGTCCGTTGCGGCGCTTTCTGTTTCTCAAGTTAGCCAGACGCTTGGCCAATCGGTCTAGATCCCGTTTCACAGCTCCAAACTGTTCCTTGAAAGCGTTCAGGGACAGCGGCTCTATTTGTGTCTCTGGCTGTACAGGGGCCGAGCTCCGGAACTGTTCCAGTCTTGCCAGGACATCGACATCGTTGAGCAGGAATTTAGCAGACTCGCCCATTAGGCGAAAGGTCAAATTTTTATCTGGTGCCGGTTCAAAAACTAATGTTCCATCTCCGTTAGCTTGGAGCTTTGATCGATTCTCGACATTATCGTAGGCGGCTGTGAACTGGAGCGCGAGCAGACTCAGCAGCAAAAGGAAGAACTTCGGGAAGAGCCCGATACGAGGCTGTTTAACTTGCATTTTTTCACATTTTCTAGCAACTGTTCAATTAACTCAATCAATCTTTTCACTCTTATAGATTAACACACCCCGATCTCTAGGCGAACGAATCTGCGCGGCGACTGATGCCAGCCTACACTTCAGCTCACTTTTTATTGGTTTCCAAGGGGGCGTTTTCTATTTTAGGCAAGATAAGGCGTCGTTGCCGGCAATGCAGCATTTCGTAATATCTTTCATTGAGAGAGGATTCCCGAAATATGATTCATATAGTAATATTTGCTTACATTTTTAGAGTGTAGTCCAATTGATTTTTTTTATTATTAATGTTTTACATTGTAGAATTTGAATATAAGTACTATGTACATATACGAGTATATTTCATTATAACTCACAGATACATATTATATTACCATTTAAGTCGTGGTTCGTAGTCAACTGACACGTATAATCCAGAGCCCGTCTCCTGAAAGATCATTAAAAAGAAGTTGATTTGAGATGCAAAAGTGTATGCAAGGGCGTACGTGGGGGGACGCCATTACCCCCCTAAGTCTTTAGAACAATTTTTTCGCTATGTGAAGTCGACCATACATTCATTATTATGGAGCACTATTTCGCCTTGAAATGGAACTGAGTTGGAAAAGCTGCGTACAATCTTTTATAAGCGATAGGTATTAATTGGTGCTGCATCTTATGGAACTGAATTAAAATTCAATATTTTAAATTTTGAATATACTTGTATATAATATTAAAATAACTTTTATCAAGTACAGAAAAAATAGCGTATTACTCTAATTTTTCAACTTTTATTTTTCCCCTCATAGTTCTATAAATACTTTGAAAAATCAGAAAAACTAATATATTCCCAATCATTGCAGATGGTCAACTTAAGCCAAGTTGTTATTTATAAACGGTTTTCAGAAAAAATCTAGATAAATTTTGAACCAACTTGGGAGCTGAATGTGTATTCAATTCTTATACCCTGCACCTAAAAGGTAAACACCCAAGTAGGTGCAAATACTTAATAGGCAGAAGGAAGCATATATTGAAGCCGAGGCGATTAAACAATATCTGTCTGTCTGTCCGGCCGTCCGTATGAACACCTAGTTCTCAGAGACTAAAAGTGCTGTTGTCACAAAATTTTGCACACAAATGACTTATCGGGATTTTCTTGTGGAAAATAGTAAAAACGGTAAGGCTAGGAAGCTGCAATTGGGTCTCCAGTATATTCTTAACGCGAAATCCAATCTATTAATATCTATTCGAGTACGTGTTCATTTCAGAAACAGTTTGGTTCACAACGTTAAAACTTAGTACTATGCAGTCTCTAGGCATTAAAAGCCAATTCTTTCATTTATCAAATAATGCCAAAATACATTAATCGGTAAAAGCTCAACAAAACTCACGAGACGGTTGATCGAATCGCTTATCATGAAAGTGTGCGAGTAAAAGATATGGCGAATTGAGTGAACAAAAACCCTATACAAATAAATAAAAGCTTTCTTTATTTATCAGCACAGACTGAAATGTACTGCGCTACTTACTTCGGCCACTATGGAATGGATGTTATGAGGTATTTCCAGCTGTAATGGCTTCTTCAACTCGATATTCCTGATCTTCTGTAGTAAATTAACCGTCTCATCGACAAATGTGTTTCGCAAGTGAGCAGAAGCTATACGAAGAAGCTTCAACTCTTTGCAAGAGCTGATAATGCCCAGAACTGCATCGGATATGTCCTCAGAGCTGCTCATCCAAAGGCTCAGCCCCTCCAAGGCGGTCAATTGCGATAGCAGGGCAACGCAATCGGCTGTTGAGCAGAAGCATTTTATCTCTCTCAGATTCCGCAGACCAGTAAGTAGTTGTGCCTCCTGTAGGGTTAGGCTGCCTCCATCGATAAAAAGTCGTTGCAGATTTGGCCGCATATTCAGAGCACTCAGTAGCAATGCGAAGGATCCACTGCGTCGGACCCCAAAGTGTGTCAGTTTCGTAAGCTTGGGCAGACGGGCAATCTGGCAGTACTCTGTTGCCTCCGCCATCACGCCAAACTTTAACTCTTCCAAGTTTCGGCAGTGAGGAAAAATGTTGGCGAGATTTTGATGCACACAGCCGTACCCCAGATGTAACACCCGCAGATTGGCATTGGTTTTACAGCATTTGACCAAATTTTGCGAGTCTATATGCTGGATGTCCAAATAAAGCTCATGAAGATTCTGCAATTGCCACAAATTACCAAGGGGGTAATCTAAGAGAATAAAAGTTTAGTTTTACATGTTAATACTGCTACAAGGATGAAAGGATGTACTAAATGCTTGATAAAATAGATGTGGCGGGCTAGACAGGTCTATAAAACGATGGCAATAAAAAGTATCCTCAAAGTATAGTGGAGCTTAAAGATTTTTAAGTAAACAATGACAAGTATAAACAGTCGAGCAAGCCCGACAGTAAAATAGCCTGTACTCTCCACAAAAAAATAAAATTAAAAAATAAAAAAAAATTAAATTGCTAAAACACATTGAATTAATTAATTAAATGAATAAATAAAATTTATTTAATACATGCACAGAAGACATGTTTATGCACAGTTTTAACAGCATACATTTACATCACGTGCCTATGCGTGTTTATATGGGTGTATGTATGCAGCACAAAGTTGAACCAAAGCAGCAACAACAACAACAGCTGCGGGCAGAGCTGCAGGCAGCGCATGGGCAGCAATTTTATTAATGGCTATAACTTTCTTCAGAATTGACCCATCATGATGAAACTTGGCACACGGACACATAAGCACTAACTACCATAATTTATTTCAAAATTCCAAGAGTTACGGAAGTTATAAAAAAACAAGAGAGAACGCTACAGTCGAGCAAGCCCGACAGTGTAATACCCTGTACCCAGGTAAACTTCCGTCGCTGAGTTATATGCGCCCATAGCAGCAGCAAAAAGAGGAAGAAGACGAGCGAACTTGTTGCTGCAGTTTGTGAGGGTTGTACAGGCGAGAATTTGTTTCGCTAATAACTTTTCTTAGAATTGACCAAATTGAATAAAGAACAGTAGAAAATTATATATAAATTATGTGTGCAAAGTTTGGTTTAGGTAGCATTTGAAATGTGGACGCTATTGACGAAATTCTGTAGCGGGGGAAGGGGGGGAAAATTCCAAAAAATAAAATAAACTCGTCCTTTCTCGGACCTAGGAGAATCTGGATGCCAACTTTGGTTATTCTAGCTTTTATAGTTTCTGAGATCCTCGCGTTCATCCAGACGGACAGACGGACGGACGGACGGACATGTCTAGATCGATTTCTCTCGTCATGCTGATTCAAAATATATATACTTTATGGGGTCGGAGATGCTTCCTTCTGCATGTTACATACTTTGCACAAACCTAATATACCCTTTTTACCCTACGGGTACAGGGTATAAAAACACACTTCCGTTAGCAAATATACTTACCTTTTTTTCCGTATACATTTTCATATATTTCCAAAGTCTTGAGGTGGGCCAAATGTTTGCTGGCGTCTAAAATTCTCTCGATTGGATTACCAAATTCTAGGCTGATATAACGTTTTTGTTATACCCTGTACCCGTAGGGTAAAAAGGGTATATTAGGTTTGTGCAAAGTATGTAACATACAGAAGGAAGCATCTCCGACCCCATAAAGTATATATATTCTTGATCAGCATGACGAGAGAAATCGATCTAGACATGTCCGTCCGTCTGTCCGTCTGTCCGTCTGTCCGTCTGTCCGTCCGTCTGGATGAACGCAAGGATCTCAGAAACTATAAAAGCTAGAATAACCAAAGTTGGCATCCAGATTCTCCTAGGTCCGAGTAAGGACGAGTTTATGTTTTTTTTTTTAATTTTCCCCCCCTTCCCCCGCTACAGAATTTCGTCAATAGCGTCCACATTTCAAATGCTTCCTAAACCAAACTTTGCACACATAATTAATATATAATTGTCTACTATTGTGTAAAATTTTATTCAATTCGGTCAATTCTAAGAAATGTTATTAGCAAAACAAATTCTCGCCAGTACAACCCCCCCAAACTGCAGCAACAAGTTCGCTCTTCTTCTTCCTCTTTTTGCTGCTGCTATGGGCGCATATAACTCAGTGACGGAAGTTTACCTGGGTACAGGCTATTACACTGTCGGGCTTGCTCGACTGTAGCGTTCTCTCTTGTTTATAATCAAACGTTGCAACTGTTCCATACCCTTTAAATTGGCGCATAAAATTTCAAAGCAATTCGTTGGGGCCATCTGCCTGTGATCTTGAAAGCCTTTCACGCAACGATCAAACGAGTCAATATTGATTGTCAAATGTGTTACCGATTCGCGACAAATACAAAACATTGTAAGCTCTTGCCTTTTGCCTTCCATATCGAGGGAAAACTTTTTATATCGAGAGCGATAGCAGTCAGTAAAAATCTGACGAAACCGCCGACATGTTTGTGCGAAATGAATACGCTCTTCATCGGATAAATATTGTAATATATAGCCCAAGCAATCGTCGTTCATATTTAAAATATTGTGAGTATCCATTTTCCAACCGACTTGCATTGCGTTCACGGCTAAACTAAATTCAAAGCTATAGGGTCTAAGCTAAACAAACATTAATAGCCACGTAAGCTTCGCCGGGCTATGAGTAATAATGCGAGTGTAGATAGTATGTGTGATTGCGTATTTTCCGCAAACTTGTTCGTTTGCTAAATATTACTGACCTATTCCAATGATAAGTTATTGCGCTTAGAGAGTGTTTGTTGTGAAATAGAAATTAATGGACCAACCTCCCTCAACTCAATTGATTTGAAATGCGCATGATGAATATCTACTTGTATAAATGAAAATACAACACATACTACAATATATTGAAAAGTAATAACAATAAATAAAGAGTTAAAAACAACTTTAAATTTATATATAAATAATAATGTAACTTTAAAAATATTCTGTTATAAATTAAAATAGAACAAATAAGAATAAGATTAAATAAGAAATGTATTTAGATAAAATTATAAATGAATTATTATATTGATATCGATCTAAATATTTAATGACTAGCGTACTAACGTAAAAGTAACCTCATACTTGTAACGCCAAGATAAAGATTACAATTAAAAAAAAAAAGTACAAAAAGCATCAATCAACCATTGAGGTTTTTAACTGCCTTTAGTGTCTGTCTATCAAGCTGACTCCTAATATGAGGATAATTCTGTCTGTCCGTCCGTCTGGATGCACGCAAGGATCTCAGAAACTATTAAAACTGGAACAACCAAAGTTGGTATTCAGATTCTCCTAGGTCCGAGAAAGGACGAGTTTATTTTATTTCTTGGTATTTTCCCCCCTTCCCCCGCTACGGAATTTCGTCAATACCGTCCACATTTCAAAAGCTACACCAACCAACTTTGCACACATAATTTCTATATAATTATCTACTTTTGTTTTAAATTTCATCTAAATCGGTTAGGTTTAAGAAAAGTTATTAGCGAAACAATTTTACTTCGGTACTACGCCCACAAGCGGCAGCATCAAGTTCGCTCTTCTTCTTCCTTTTGCTTCTGCTAGAGGCGCATATACCTCAGTTCCGGAAGTTTACCTGGATACAGGGTATTTCAATGTCGGGCTTGCTCGACTTTCTCTCTCTTGTTGAAACTGAAATAATAATTAATTACTTATTACCACAACAAACAATCATTGAAAATTTCAGCTACGAATCGGCTAAAATATGGGGAAACCACGATATAACTTGGGTGACGGAATAATATGATCACGATCATTTCATAACATACTATAGCGATAGTATAGTATATATATAGAATATATATTCTTGAATTTGCACTGAAATGTTACCCTGTCTCTGCTCCTATTGCTTTTGTGTCCCACAAAGTTGTCAGAGAACTTTATTTTCCCATAGATTCCAGAAGGAATTCTTTCTAAGTCCGTCACACATCATGACCAAAATTTCCTGGCATACAATTACAATCGCGATCATGATATACCGAGAGTAGCTCGCATTAGACCTTTCTCTCTGAACTGGTTTTGCCTGGATAATATTAAAATGTAGCCCGAATGTCTAGACAAATATATATATATATATCGTGCGGCTCGCCCGCCTGAAATTCGGACTACATTTCAATATTATCCAGACAAAACCATTTAGGAGATCCTCAAGGCATTTTGGATAAAAGCAAATTCTGTCACTCCTTTGATTAAAGTAAATTCACAATTTATGATCGAGAGTAAAAAACATGTAGACAAGCCCAAATAATTATTGAATGATGCCATTTTTATACCCTGTACCCAAAGGGTACAAGGGTATATTAGTTTTGTGCGAGTGTACATGGAACACACAGAAGGAGGCGTGGCAGACCCCACAAAGTATATATATTCTTGATCAGGATGACAAGCCGAGTCGATATAGCCACGTCCCTCTGCCCGTCTGTCTGTCTGTCTGTCCGTCTCTACGTCTGTCTGTATGAACTATGAGCTAGAATAACCAAACTTGGTATCCAGATTCTCCTGAGCCCGAGAAAGGACGAGTTTGTTCATTTTTCCCGATGCACCCCCACTCCCTCCCTATTCATGATTTTGTATAACTTCCGTAATTCTTTGAATTTTGAACTAAAATTAGGTAGTTACATCCAGTTAGTGATTATATATCCGTATCCCAATTTATTATGATAGGTTGATTGGAATGAAAGTTATAGCCATATAACCAATCAAAGGTCTGTCCGCAGCTGTATTTGTTGCTGCTTTGATATAATTACGCAATGCACACATACATATGTACAAGCACACAAACACGCATAGACACGATTCTGATGTAAATGTAAATGTATGTATGGAATATTTTATATTTAATTTAATTAATTAATTAAATTTTTTTAATAATATTTTTTTGTGGGGTGGTACAGGGTATTTAAAAGTTGAGCTTGCTCGACTTTAGCATTCCTTTCTTGTTTAGTTGTTAGGTCTGTAACGTCTCTGACCACAATTGGCTGTGAATCGGGGCATAGGAAAATAAAGCTCCCCCAGTAGTAACAAAGAAATGTGATATTCATGTGATAAATTACAATATTAAAAAAATTAAAGAATAGCAATAAGATAATAGAGAAATAAGAATAATAGACTATAAATGTGCAATATTCAAAAATTAATCGAATAGCCATAAGATAATAAATGTGATATTAACAGAAATAAGAATAATACACTATAAATAACTTGCACACTTTCTCATCTTTGAAGTTGAAAATATGACGCACTATTACTGTATATAATTATTGCAATCTGTATCGATTTAATAATAAATTAAATAAATTAATAAATGAAAACCCTCAAAAGGGCTAGAAAATCTAAACATTATTTCCACTGTTAAATTACAAATATGTTCGATCGTTCTGGTCAGCATGACTACCGCTTTCAATTGCAAGTGAAATCTATATGGATTTTAAAATTAAGTACTGAAATTTGGAATTCACATTTTTATATACATACTTGTATCTAATTTTTATTTACATAATAACAACAATGCTCCAACATTCAATTTACTTTTCGAAAAGCAAGCGTCCCAGGTGCGCCTGCTGTTGTGCATAAAAATCTAAAGCTGCTGTCTGACCCGATCCTTGTCCACCTCCTGCGCCCGCCTCAGGAGTCACTGATTGCCGCACCAGCTCCCTTAGGCTGGCCGAGATCTTGGCGGTCCTTGTGATCGCTTCATGCCGTCGCTGTCGATTCTCCACGAAGCGCTGCGATTGACGCCGTTTGCGTTGAATATCCGCCTTAAGTTGTTCCCGTTTTAGAATCTCTAGCTGTTGCCTTTCCCGCCAATGCTCCTCGTGCTGAAATATAGGAAGAGCCGCAAAGGCCACGAATAGTTAGTATTATAGTAGTATTTAAAGCTACAGAGAAGACAACTGAACACTACAATTTGATCACGAATTACTGCTCTATGATTACTGACCAGTGATCACTTATTCATTAAAACCTCAACGCCGAGTTCTGATGATTATTTACTGATCGTGTAACCACTGGCTAGTGTCGATACCTTTTACAATTCCCTACAAGGTTTAAATACGAAAAGGATCAAGAAACTTTTCTGCAAACAGAAACGAAGGTGTGATATAATAACTTGGATTTATACAATAACGTCCAACGACATACAGAATACTATAAAATATTATAACCTCTTGTCCTTATATTAACAATAATCATTATGAGAGATATTATAAAAACTACAAAATAACGATTATTTTTTAATTTTATTTACTCGCTCACAATATAATGATTAATTTTGAGTTTCACTTTACAACTTAACTAATAATCATAATTATTTTTGGAGTAAAACTCATCAAATAATGATTATTATTAGTTAAAATTAATTATTAAATATTGAGATAATGAATAAAAATTAGAGTTTTTAAATCATTGTGAAAATGCATGGATAATCCTAAAAAAAAAATAATATGGGGGTTGGATCAGAAAAAATGAACAAACTCGTCCTTTCTCGGGCTCAGGAGAATCTGTATACCAAGTTTGGTTATTCTAGCTCTTATACTTTCGGAGATCCTACTGATGATTTTACTTTTTCTTACAAGATATGATTTAGTTTTAATTCTGCTTGTTTCGAATCACTGATTACTTATTTTACTTTTTCTTACAAGATATGATTTAGTTCTAATTCTGCTTGTCTCGAATCACTGATTACTTATTTCACTTTACTTTTTCATAGAAGATATGATTTAATTATAATTCCGATTCTACCCACCTGCACTTGTTCCACATAATTGTCATGCTGCAAGCGATTGAGGTAGGCCTGCAGGAGCTGGCCTCGCAACTCGTCCGCTCGCCTGAGCCGCTGGGTCAGTCGCATACAGATATCGCGTTTCCGCAAGGTGGTATCCAGGTGTTGCTCCTCCTGCTGTAAATTGACGGCCTCACTGCGACGTAGCTCCTCGCACCGGCGCTGGCACAACTGGATGTCCCGTTCCAGTCTCAGGTCTGCGATTCGCTGCTTGGCAGCAGCATCTTTGGCATTCAGCGCCTCTCGGAGGCGTTGCAGCTCGGCCAAATCCCGCTGGGCCAGCGCCTGCAAACGGACCTTGGTCAGCATGTAGTCTTGAAACTGTTTATCATGAACTGCCCGCTTATACTCCTCTATCTGCTCGCACTTGAGCAATTCCCGTTCCAGACGTTCGTTCTCCCAATATTTGCGAGCCAGCCAGGCGTGCTCCTTCTCCACCAGTTGCTGGCTGCGCTTCACGGCCATGCGATTAAGAATCTTCTTGTCGTGCATGGGCACTTGCTGATAGGCGGCACGCACAGTGGGGGTAAGACAAAGATTGGCCATGGAGCTACAGAGGGTCTCATTGGAATGGCTCGGCCGTGTCTGCCCGAGAGGCACCAAAGCCATATCGTTGTCGGCAGGTGGTTGGTTAAGTGCTTGCTGAGACTTCGACTTGGCTTTTCCGTTGATGATCAACGCTGGCAATGGTTCCGATAGTGGGCCAAGAATGTTCTGCAATATAGTTAAACATTTAATATTTATTGTCTATATAGTTTTTAGAAATTGAAGATGGAGTCTCAAACACTTAAAAGAAAAATTAAAGCAAACTAAATATACAAAACATATCGGAACAAAAAAACGTAAGTAAAGTTTTCCAATATTCTTTGTTTGAAATTTTTCCCTTGTATCTGCAGTAATTTCTTCTTCAGTTCGTCCTTTGCAGTAAGTTATAGCCCTAGGCATGGTCCTGTCGACCTTGAAGCATATATATCAAGCCATATGAATATTTGACTCGCAAGTGGGGTAAAAGGTAAAAAGGAACCAAACATTGAAAAATTACAACAAAAACATTGGATTGTAGCTCATTCGAGCCTAAGAGCTGTTAATGCTCTCTTTTCGTAAAGCTCGCCACAGAAAACGTGTCGAATTCTAATTAATGCTGATACGGGCCTCGCACAGGAGCGCACAAAGAGAAGCACTGTCGATCCCACGCTCTCCCTGTAGATTTATAAATGATCAGTAAGACGGACCTATCCGGAAATGGCTATTGTCATCCGATAGCCAGTATGCCTCTTTACAGTTATAATGTTATTGAGCTGAAGCTCTGTACTGCACTGTAGTGTATGCCCTGCTCTGCTAGACTATCGACATTAAATTTAGGCGTGAATCATAGTATATCGCAGATGCCGCAACCGAAATTATGCCTTGAATGTTTACGTGAATCGTCCTATGAATACAACACCTGCTCATTCCGAACACACAATATTAGCTCCATTCAATTGCGTTGAACATCGATTAAAACAGACTTATAATTAGACTTATAATTGTAAAACAAGAAAGGAAACTGACTGGATATAATTGTCGAATAGAGCTGGGGAGTAGGGAATACATCACAAAATAAAAAACTTGACCGTTTTCGGAATTTGGAGTCTGATCAGACAGATCGTACAGACAGACGGACAGACAGACTGTCCTTTAGGTACTCGGTATAGGATAACACAAACTTCAAAGCTGGACCTAGTCTCGATTTATTCTACAAGGAATGTATCTATATGTGGTCTGTTCAAAAGAGAAGGTGAATTTTTGTAATTTTATATTTTTTTGAAAAGTAATTATTTACTCATCAATATCCATTTTGTCCCCTTCAAAGCAATCCCCCTCTGATATAAGAACTTATGCCAGCGCTCCTTCCAATCCTCGAAGCACTTCTTAAATGCGCTTTTCGGTATGGCTTCGGTATGGCCATCAGCTCGTTCTTCGATGTTGATTTTATTTCATCAATTGTGGCAAAACGCTCTCCTTTCATTGGTCTCTTCAGACTTGGGAATAGGAAAGAGTCGCAGGGAGCCATGTGCCATGGCATTCTATCTGAGGGTGAATGCTTTGATGGGGACATGATGGATAATGATGAATAAGTAAATGCTTTTCAAAGGAATTCAAAATACACTTTTCTTTTCAACAGACTATATATAGAGATATATACACGAAAACGTTATATAACTTCCTTGTAGTATTCCTTATTAACCATACGACCTGCTGGCGAGAACACATGAACGCATTGTAATTGAAGAAAACAGTGAACAGACAACGTATATAATTTAAACTTTCTGATTAATTTCTTCTTTTCACAAATGCATTCCGAATCTTATGGGATGCACATATCTCTAGACATACCTGCAATATTTTGCAGTCCCTGGTAGCACCTGCTCTCTCACGTTTCCTGTTTGTCGAAGCTGCTGGCACGCCCACACTGACACTGCGCTCCTCCGCCCCCCTCCGTTCGAGTCGGGTGCTCCGTTCACTGCCCGCGCTTTTTGAACGTCGACTCCTGTTCGCCGTGGAAGCACGCGTATTGGTCTCTGCGGAGTTGCGGCGACTGTGCTCCACAGGCGATTTGGAAGCACTGCGTTTTCGAGGCTTGCTGCTTAGCTTGACCTTGATGCTGCCCTTCTTACCAGCGCTTTCGCGACGCTGCAGTAGCTCCAGCGCCTCAATCTGCTGCTCCAGTTGCTGCAGCTCCTGCTGGGAGTTGTGCGACCTCTCCTCGGGCTGGCGTCCACTTGTGGTGCTGCTGCTGTGGGAGCTGTAGCAATAGCAGTGGCAAATGTCACAACAACTGTCCGCCAGCTCCAACTGCTCCAGTTGCTCGAGCAACAGTAAGTGCTCCACCTTGGTTTTGTGCTTGCTTCTGCTTCCATTTCTGTCGCAAGTCTCGCTACGTCGCTTCTTCTTGGGTGTCATTTCTCCACTTCCATGACCCGCCAACGGGCCAACGGGGTCAAAGTTTAAACTGGGACGAACTCCTGGCCACCAAATAAGCTGCCCCTTTGCTGTTTTTATTTTGCTGCGTCCATTCGTCAACTCGTCGGTGGCGTAATAAACCCAAATTCCAGCAGAAACATTTCCTTCCTTTTCTGTTTACTTTTCTATTGATTGGCCATGGACTGGTTGCCAACAGCAACTACACCCTCCACACCAGTCGCGACACTTGGCACAGCTGTGCCCGCTCAGCTATTTTGGCTTTTGGGCACCTATTTTTGGCGCCCTACGGGCGGAAATTAGAATGTCAATTAGTTACGTACGTTCAAGTTGCGAAAATGAGGGTACTTCGATTGAAATCGATATTGCATAAGACCCCGAGGAGTTACACACACACTCATACGTCATTTTCTTAGCTAATTAAAGAGTCCCCATTCAACTGATTGCCGGGTTAGTCCGCAGTTTGAGAATCACTGTTGAGGCCATTTTCGGAAGCAGGTGGCTTTTAAAGCTTGATCATAAGTGGATTGCGAGGTTAGTTTTGCATTTATCCGTAATAATCAACAACCCCATTTGATCCGGAGGATACCAAACCCATAAGCAGAACTCTATAACTGTACACAATTATTGTACCAATTATGAAACATTATATTTGCTATACACTGTTCCATAACAAACTCGTCTCCAAGCTCTTCAATTCAATTAGGAAATAATATCAAATCTGAAGACGTGCATACTTCGTGTCTATGCGTGTTTGTGTACTGTACATATGTATGTGTGTATTACATAATTATGTCAAAGCAGCAACAAATACAGCTGCGGACAGACCTTTGATTGGTTATATGGCTATAACTTTCATTCCAATCAACCTATCATAATAAATTGGGATACGGATATATAATCACTAACTGGATGTAACTACCAAATTTTAGTTTAAAATTCCAAGAATAACGAGAGTTGTAGAAAATCGCGAATAGCGAGGAAGTGGAGGAGCGCATCGGGAAAAATTAAAAAACTTGCCCTTTCTCGGGCGTAGGAGAATCTGGATACCAAGTTTGGTTATTCTATCTCTTATACTTTCTGAGATCCTTGCGTTCATACAGACAGAGAAATCATTTTCATTACAATTTTGGACATACATACGTGTATTGCTTTAATGACAGTTTAAATAAAGAACGATCTAAAATATAAAAGTTAGCTCACGATCTCGGCGTTATGCTTATAAACCGTATCAGAAATTTCGCCAAAACGATAACTTCACAAAATACTTGTTTGCAATGCAGTATGCGACAAATAATAATCCAGATTTTAATATACTCGTACATATATTTTCTTTTATTTCAAAAAAATAAATAAAAGAAATGATTTAGTTGCTGCTGAGACGCATACTGTATTTAGCGCTGCAATACAATATCAAATTTATATATATTTTTCAGAATTATATATCAACGACTTATACTCGTAAACAAAACTAAAAACAATCGAAGTATTGATGTTTCTAATAACAATAAACAATACAAATCTGATTCTATTAGACAGTCCTTTTAGGTGCTTTCAGTCCTTCAACAGTCCAATTCCAATTTCCCCAAATGGGAATTTCTCCTCACGGATGGGTTTAAAATGGAAAAAATGCCGGCCCCAGCGTTGTCAGGGAGAGAAGTCGAAATCAGAGACACAACATCCGAAAACCATAAAAAATGCAACTAATATGGACCCCGGGACAAGAAGGGCGCAAACAAGAAAGACATAAACAACCTTGTCAATACACAATGCAAAATACAACAAGACAATTAATCCATACGGGGATGCAACATACACACATAATATATATACGAGTAGCACCAGTAACAGCAAACTTAAAATATGTAATTATTTGCACAAAATTCCGATTGGAACATTAAGTTCTGAGCTTACACGCCAATACTACAAAGTACTCTCACGTAAAACATTTCACCAATCACTGCCAATTGATGCATCCTTGCAATTCCAACACTTCAAATGAAAACGAGCCTGAAAGTCTTCTTAAAAACTACACTGCAGTTTAGGAATAATTCCAAGTTAGAATTAAAGAAATAATAAAAGCCCCGATTCTTGTAGTAGCCGAAAGCAATTCTTGCAAAGTAATTTTTGCATTCGCAACTGACTGATTTGGCAAATTCATAATATTTTATTTGTGTTGCAAAGGTCGGCTTACATCCAACCATCAATATATGTACCATATATCGTATTTAGGTATATTTTTATTATTCATATTCAATTTCAACAAATAACAGACAAAATACTTCAATTCAATAATTAATCTAAATGACACACTATTACCTTTCCACTTAACGTCGAAAATAGCGCAATACCGAACCCAGTAAAAACATATAGATGATTGTATAAGGGAATAATTAGTTGGAGAGACTGTGACCATGTTTTCTACGGTATGCACACATATAGGTTTCTATCAATGGTGTGATATGAACTCTACTACAAGTGTCGGATAAATATGCATACGTATATTTGGACTTTGCTTTGAAGATTTTCCATACAACTAGCTAATAATTTACACACAGAAAGTCATGTACAGAATACAACGCCTGTCGTAATACTGATGTCAACAAATATTTGTTTGTATGTTCGTAGGTAATATCTAACAGTAAGTAAGTAATATTGCTGTTCACGTTGAGGTTAGTTTAGGTATCTTAAGTTACACGATTAAAACAAATGTCAGAGCTCTGAACATACATATCTATCAATCGAATACCTATTCAAAAACTAAAGGTAACGAGGTAAACGGAAGCACAGGACACGATGGTTCCAGCTGTAACGAAGTGGCGAAGCAGTCCGCCGAAGCGCTGTAGTCGCCCAAAGTTTCCATGACTTTTCCGAGTGTGAACCTATAGACAGAGTTGGGGTACAATTAGTTACTATGTCATAGAACTACCTCTATGATCTCACCATATTTTTGGACAATTGGGGTCTAATTTAGCTGCATCCTTGAGCATTTTCTCCGCCAAACGAGGTTCGCCCATAATTAAGTGGGTCTCGCCCAGGGCACGTAAAGCCTCCATGTGATTTGGATTGGCAGAAACAGCGTTGAGGAAACATTGCTTCGCATCGAGCCACTGCTCCAAATAGACATGCACTTGGCCGCGCTGCAACGATATTCCAAATCGTGGATTAATTACCCCCTTAAGACTCATTGAGAAGACCGCTTCGGTATGAAGATATCTGGTAAGTAGAGTACATCGTCATCATACATACCATGAACATAATTTGATGGGAAAGTGGGTAGATTTGGGTGGCTTCATGTATACAATTGAGCGCTTCATTGGGCTGATCTATCCGGAGATAGACATCCGCGAGCAGTAACCAAATCTGTGGATTCCAAAAACAGAGACTAAAGTTATGTGCCGAATCGAAATGACTAGAACTCACCTCAATTTGCAGCATCCAAGGCCGTCGAGGTCCTGGACGCTGAGTGAACGAACTAAGCGAACTGGCGGCCTCGCTCAGCGCATGCTCCACACGCGACACTGCAGCCAGAGAAACGGCATAGACGGAATCTTGAAGAGATACAACAAATTATCAAGCAAATCCAATAGCCAATGGATATGTATAAGAAAGGCTTAGTGATAGATTAGAAGCAGGCAATAAAGTAGCAACGGTCGTACAAGCAACTAATAGTATGAGGGTATACCAGTTAAAGAGATAGAAGAAAAAGTCTGTGTATATATATACATATGTATGTAACAAGGTTAGGAATAGAAGTGTACATCAGGCAATCGGAATAGGAAGAGAAAGCATAATAAACTGGCCTTAGGACTTACAATTATTTTGGTTTTATATTTGTTTTTGATTTTATGGTTTTATATACACACATTCCGCGGAAGTTAGGATATTACATAGTAGGTATATTTATACAGAACATACATATAATTAGTGACATATTGATTCGAGATCATAATTCGATCCAACTTACTTGAATCCTTGTCAGACATTTGCGAGGAGTGCATTAAATGCACGCCGCTCTTCGTATCCGAGTGCTTCTCTTCCTCACCAGCCAACTGCCCTTCGTAAATCTCTCTCCAGACCGCCAACATGTGCTGCACCGTCGAGAGGGCCGTCTCCGCATCCTCCAGATGTAGCTGCAAGTGCGCCTTCACGTGTAGCAAGTTTAAGTTATCGGGAAATTCGTGCAGTGCATCATCCACGACGCCCAGCGCCTCACGTGGGCGCCGTGAAGCGGTCAACAGAAGTGCAAATAGATGCAGACAGGGAGCGTGCTCCATGCGCAGGGCCAACGCAAATCGGATGTGACTGAGCGCCTCGCCCACATTGTTTAGCAGCGCATATTGCAGCGCAAGGTAATACTCAGCAAGATGATCGTTGCCATCCAACTGCACGGCCCGTTCCAAGGTCTCCAACGCTAATTTATTGTACGCATCGCGATCGCTCTTCAACGTGGCTTCAATGGCCAATTGCTGGTGGCCGATGCCCACAAAGAGTTGGCTGCGTGACGGCCGAAAACCTGGCGTAAATAACACTCTTGGTAAGCGAATTAGTAGAACATGTCGCACAACAGCAAACCATTGTGGATAACGATGTAAACGTATTTTTCATGCCAAAAATCAACTTCTAACCACATTAAATATTATTGCTTAACCTTTTTAAAACAAACTCTAACCACTTTATCACTATATCCATGTGAATTAAAAGTCTAATAAATACCAATTCAGTTCTATCTTCCTCGTAGCATGGTATTTCGACAGTTACATTTTCATACCTGTACCCATTCTTTGGGTAAAAAAGGTATACTAGTTTTGAGCAAATCTATGTCACACAGAAGGAGGCGAGGATGACCCCCCAAAGTATATCTATATATCTTTGATTAGTAGGACAAAACGAATCGATATAGCCATGTCCAACCAAACTTGGTATCCAGATTCTCTCAAGGTTTTTTTTTCTGATGGTGTCTCAAGCTCTCATAGTCCCTATGCTCTAGGTGTTCATACGGACAGGCAGAAAGAGAGACATGGATAAATGAAATCGTTTTTCATGAATATTTTTACTCTGTGGGGTCTGCCACTGAAGGCCTCCTGACTATTTTATTTTTCACTTTGAGCTATCCTGTTTATTTTAATATAAAATCCCATATGTATGTAAGAATGTTCAGGCATTCTTTAATTAATACTACGCGTCGTATATGTATCATAGCGACCTTCCTATAAGAGCGACATGATTTCATTTAAGCCAAATTATGTTTTACCATGGAACCTACATTAAACCGTGCTATATAACATAGTGGTCAGATATAAATTTTCTGTGGTATATATAATCTAATATAAATAATCTAAAAAGCGCTGTTCTTATTCATGAGTTATTGATATACATACGATATACGATATAAAAAGTTTGTAAAATCTATCACACACCTTGTGGTAATTTATAAGGCATGAGTCATAATGACGGAATTTATAAGGCTCTATAGCTTACCCTTCACTTCGCGCCTAAGAGCCTGTTGGGCATAGTTGAGCCCTTGTTTGACGGAGCCCAAAGATTCATAGCACAAGCGGGAGGCTAAAAGGCAGGGTAATGGATCGCTGGGAGTTAGTTTCATGGATTCCTGGAGTACGCGCAGAGCGTGAGCATGTTTTTCGGCAGCCATCAAACTAAGTCTGCATAACGAAAACAATTAAGTGGACTTCCTTAAATATATGATTTAAATCTCACCCGTATTGCCGCCAAACATGCTGCTCGGAAAAACTGAACTTCAGAGCCTTCTCAAAGGATTCGTGGAGCAACTGAACCAGGCCCCAACGTACAGTGGCCAATGTGAGAAGATCATAGACTGCTGAGACATTTCCCATTGCATGCTGACGGGCCACGCGGAACTCCGGACTTTGCGATAGAACCGTATCGCGTACGGCTAATGCTTCAGCTATGAGCAGCAGCAGGATGATCTCCTCCTGCTGATTACGTGGCGAGAATTGTTGACGAGCCGCATACTTGTGTGGCTTCCACAGCTGCCGGCCACTACCGCGCAATGTGCTGCCCCCGGATTTGCCTTTGAAGGGCAGAGCGTAAATGGTGCCCGAGACACCGCGCAGCAGAACCTCGGCCAACTGACGTGCAAGGGTCAGACGCAGTGACTGCGTGGTCCTTGTCTCAATAGCATTCAGCATGATGCGATAACGTTCCACTGCATCCTGTAACTTGCCCGCCTTAATCAGCACAATTGGCGCACGCTGCAGCGCCGTCTCGAGAATGGCACCCATGCGACGATTCACCTCGTGCGCCCCGGAGGCGGGAATGGTGCTGCTTATAGCGAAATTGCTGGCCGATTGCTGAACGGTCGCGTTCACGTTGAGCGTGGAGCCGGCGGTTGAGTTGTTTGAACTGTTGCTGCCGCTGGCCACATCCTGCTCCTGCAGATAAAGCAATCCCAAATCGGTGGCGCGCTCAAAGCTGGAGATCTAAGAAGGGCTGCGAGTTATAAGAACCTGCCAAAATTTCAATAAGAAACACTTGCCATCTCCGCCTCCTTTTCGGCCTTTTTAAACTTCGATGTGGGCTTGGTCGTTTGTTGCTCCAAGCACAGACCCCTGATGGCATAACTCTCGGCTAGAATTTTCAAGCTGCGTCTGTGGGCGGAATAAACTGAATTGTTTGGAATTCGTCATTTATTGATTCGTTCACTCACAAGGTCAATTCCTTTTCGGCCAGCGTATTAAGCTCGGCCTTCACAAAGTTCTCCAAGCTTTGCTCGTACTCGCCGCAAGCGAAGCTTAACTTGGCCAGCAACAAATAGGCATCCAAGGCTATTCCCGCCTTCTGGCCGCTCTCACCTAGCGCCAAGTTCAGGTAACGTCGTGCTTCCCCGAGCCCGCTCTTAGCGCGACCAAAATTAGACTCGATGGGTGCGTTCTCCTCCAGATAGTTTTCTAGTCGCGCTTCCCCCACCAGAAAGTTGGCCAGGCACTCTGCAATGCAAAAATATAAATCCGCTGTTGGGTATTCTTGAGCGTCTCACCATTGTGCGGCGAGCCAGTCTTTAGCTCATCTGTCAGCTCCAAGACACGCTGCCATTTTCCATCGCTCCGACAGCTTTCAATAAGTGCCTCGACTTTGGTCGTATTCCGTCGATTGGCCATGGCTGAGATGAGTAAAAAATTACGTATGTTTCGCTAATTTAATTAATTTGCCTTACTTCACTGTTGTTTTACACGACGCCAATGCTGGCACTATGTTTCAATTATTGTTGTTTTTGCCCTAACTCTTGCTATCAACTAACCTGACCAGAGTTGCCTGGTCGTACTGCGTGAGTAAATACATCGATAGATGTATAGGAATTTCTAGCTATTACTTAGAAATACCAAAGAATACTAGAAAAGGTATATTTTAAGAAATATATATGAATCTCAACTATTATTTGCATTATTATTTAAAAAGAGCAGAATTTTAAAACAAATACAATTGCTGAACTCGTTTAACCCTTTTCTAGTTTCGTAATATTTTATGAGCAAAGTTTGGTATTTTCAGTTATAGCAAATAGTATTAGTCATCACTAATTTATCATTATACCTACACTATTCATCGCATCCAAACAAAATTTTAACGAATGCAAATAGCGCAATTGCAACACATTCATGTGTATAGAATATATTGTGTAAAGAATATAACAAAATATACTTACATATGTATATGAGGCTGCCACTCTACCAAATGGGAATCGAGTTCTGTCAGCTTATTTTGTAATGGTGTGGCATCCCAAAAACAGCTGATCGCACGACAGCGCATTTTACAGCACCTAGTCTGTTGTGATATGCAACACTTTGGCTTTGGTTTTCAGCCAGTTGAAAATATTTGGTTGGATGGTGGGTGTCCGCGCATGATTTTTCTAATAAGTTGTAATGCAACGAAATCTCAGAAAAAGTGTGTAAATTTATGCAAATTTGCGAGCTTTCCAAACATTTATATAGACAATGGACGAATAATGTGTCAAATGTGTTAATTGTGATTAATTATGAATGTCAAAGGAATTAATACCTCGAATTCAACATTCTTATCGGTGTTATATCAAGCGGATAGATTCTGAAAAAGGTTAGTTACTTTTTATTGCATTTTGATTAATATAATAGTATCTTGTGTGTCCTGCGATGAATACGCGTATGTGTGTGCCGCCGTTTTGGCTAACGCTCAGCTGTTTAGTTATCTGTCGTGTTGTTGTTGCTGTTTGCTCACGTTTGCCGCTACACACGCTCGCATATACACGTACTCATACATACATGCATTTGTATGTATGATGTATGCTTGTGTGTAAATACAAACGCACTTACGTACATGTATAATTTAAAAAGTGAGAGTGCGTATTTTTGCTTATCTATCATTAGTGAGTGCAGTTATTGCAATCGTAAAATAACGGTATTGCATGTTCTCAACATTTTTGCTTTAGCCTTTTCACGCACACACGCCCCATGCCTCTTCTAATTAGAAAGATATCACTCAAACGCCCTACATAGTATATACTATCTCTTTTACGCACGTGCAGTATTATACGTATTGATGCACTCTCTTGTTATTGCCAACAACTTGTTCAAGTTCAATTGCATCTCTTTCCTGCCAATTTCACGCTCCATTTGAGAACTAACAATTTGCTTGCGCCCCGCCACCGCTGCTGCTGCGTCTGACATCGCGTGCGTCGTCGTTAGATCGTCAAAGTTAAATGCCAAGCTTTATTTTTGTTTTGTTTTTTTTTTTAACCTGTCAATTACACCTTGTCAGTAGTGCGGGGTGTGGGTGCGCGGTAAATGAGGCAAGCACATTAGCAATTCATAGCATGTTCTACCAATAAAAACAACAAATTATTACGTAAAACAAACATTTAAATGAACATTAAAATAAGCGCGAAAAAGTCATTAAAATGTTTTGGAAAGGGAACAGAAGACAATGCAAAAAATGGGCCAAATTATTTTCTGCTTTGCGCTAGAAATCTGCTTCTTAAAATGAAAATAAAAAGGCAAAATCAAAACAAAAGACGAAGATGAAGACAAAGCATGCGAATTGCCGAGTCAATAATGGAGGGTGGCAATGAGTGGGTGAGAGAATGTAGTTGTTTGTCCTGCAGTGTGCAGCTTTTGGTGGCAGCTGACTAACGGCGGTTTCGCCTGCTTATGACGTAACGAAAATGATTGTAGGCCAAGTTAATAGCATGGGAGCATCAGCCTAAGAACGAAAGGAGGGAATAAAGTGCGGTGGCTCATAAAAAGCCTACAGTGGGCATGAAACAATAGAATGTACAAAAATTCATTCATTCTGCATTCTTATATAATTATTATCAATTAATATGACTAAAATACTTACTGAACTCATATTGCGAGCGAAAAACGTTGTTTTGTAATTAAGGACAAAATCACTTTCGGATTTTTGCCTACATAAAATATTAAATCTCGATTATAATTTTTTAATAGAGCGCGATTTTTTTATGGCTTTAACTTTCCTCATAATTGACCTATCATGATGACACTTGGCATACGGACAAATAACCACAAACTGGATGTATATGCCAAATTTAAGTTCAAAATCCCAAGAATTACGGGAGTTATAAAAAACACGAATTGCGGGGGAGTGGGGGGTTGTATCAGAAAAAAAAAAACACAATCTCGAACTGCCTAGGGCTTAGGGGAACCTGAATGCCAAGTTTGGTTATCCTAGCTATTGCACTTGCTGAGATCGTTGCGCTCATACAGACAGACGGACGGACAGACGGACATAGCTATATCGACTCAGCTTGTCATCCTGATCAATAATATATATACATACTTTGTGGGGTCTGCCACGCCTCCTTCTGTGTGTTACATACATTCGCACAAAACTAGTATAGCCTTTTTCCCTTTGGGTGCAGGCTATAATAATGTGCCCTTATACTTTACTGTGAATTGTTCGCAGAACTGAGTGTTCGCTTTATTTTGTTCTCACAAGTTTATACTGCTAATTGGCTTTAAGGCTACACAATTATTTTTCATTATTATTATGTCTTTTAACACTTGCGATCCGCAAAGCTCATGATTTTAGCCCAGAGTGCATGGATTTTATTGTTGTTTGGCGTTTGATAGGGAGATAGGGAGATTGCCAGCAGGTTGTTGCAGGCTGTGCGGCAATTGGATCGCAAGTGTTTGTTTGTGTGTCTTAATGGGTGGGTGAATAAAGTGTGTGTGTGGTGATTGAAAACAGTTTGAGTAGGGACAGTGAAACCGCATCTCAAAAACATGCATACGGCTTTCAACTGTGCACACAAGCTCTCCGCATGCTATGCCATTGGCATGGCACGCCAATGTGGGGCAGACGGCAGTTGTCCGACCGCATCTTTTACCTCCTACCTCCACCTTCCTTCCCGTTCCTTCCAACAAGAGCAAAGAAAAGAGTGCACGCATGTTTGCAAATTGAAACGACGTTCCATGCTCGTGCTCCAAGCGCGAAACAGTTTGGAAAACGAAACAAATTTCGCCAGCGGCGTCAGCGTCCGCGTCGTCGTCGACGCCACATTTAAACGATTTTAGCTGTTGTTGTTGTCGTCGTTTTGCTTGTTACCGTTTTTCGTAAATTTTTTTTTTATTGTGCGCATATTTTGACTTTGCGCCTAGGCTGCCCCGCTCCCCAAGACGCTCAAGACGCGTCCGTTGCCACGCATTCGAACTTTTGTTTACTTTTATTTTTTGTTTTTGTAGGTTAAGGCGTCACGTTTTTTGTTTAGTTTTACGTGCGTATGCATGTACATACATACATACGTACATATACATATTGTATGTATGCATGCGTGTGTGCAAATGGGTATGAATTTGCATGTGATATTGGCGCTTTGCTTTGCTCGTATTATTTATTGGCTTGTTGCTTTTTGCAGGTGTGCTTAACACTACCCCCTTCCACCACTGAACGACCACTTCGATTTTTGTTTAGTTAGTCTAGGTTGCTTGGCCTTTATCGTTATAATGCGCGTCCTTAGCTCAGCCGTGTTTTCCCTAAATACATACATACATAAATACAAGCATGTATGTACATAAGTATGTACATTTGTGTGTATGTGCTTGCAGTCATTGGTAGGGACCCATCCATTCACCCAATCCTTGACGATTTTTTTGTGCTCTGCCATTTGTACGCCTTTTGCCTTCAGTCACGCGCTCAGCTCTGCTAAGGACTTGAAAGAAACATACACATTTTCACATAAATAAGCTTGTACAATCCTTCCACAATTGGGGTTGTAGAGGCAACAATTCAGATCCTTGAATTAACTGCAGCAAAAGGAACCTTTAACTTTCAAAAATACGCGCTATCAGCTAATACGCCTGAAACGCAATTATAATACAACAAAATGTCGAGTCCTGTGTATTGGCAAATGACTTAAACGAGCTGCATGTTGAACTTTCCACCGTTTGCATCCAAAGTTCTATTTATCAGCCGTACGGCAGTCAAGTTCTGCAAGGATGATTTGATGCTTGTATATGTATGTGTATTGTATAGGAACGCAGATCCTGTGTGTCATGTTGCTAACTCTTTATATTCTGTACATGAAATGAACTAGAGTATATTAGATTAGATGCAACAGGCAGAAGGAGCCGCGGCAGATCCCACAAAGTATATATATTCATGATCACAATGGCAAGACGAGTCGATATAGCCATGTACATACGTCTTTATTCCGTCCGTCTGTATGAACGCAAGGATCTCAGAAAGTATAAGAGGTAGAATAACCAAACTTGGTATCCAGACTCTAGCATTCATTTCTTGCTATCTTTCGTTGATGTTGATGTTAGGTTAATCAGAGGTAGCTGATCATTTAGAACGTGCTAAGTGCTAGATCGTGTACAGGAAGGAACCCAGGTTTCACAAATAGCCGGCAATATGCTGTACAAATATATAATAAATGCCTGCCAAAGTACCAATATAATCTCCCCGTATTCGCGTTGTTGACCTCCTTTTTTTGCAAATAAGAAAAACTGCAAACTTCCAACTCACATACCTCCCTCCTCCCACCTTTCGAGACTAAAACAACAAAAACACATTTTGATGGCTGGCAATAACGAATTTCTAGCTGCTGACTTAGTCTCAAATTTCATAGAATTTCTACTTGACGTCTGTTTTAGCCTGTTTCTGGGCCATAAACAAGTGGCAAGCATAAACTTGGCACACATGTACATATGTTGTTGTAGTTGTTGTTGTTGCTGTTGCGTTTGGCTTCTCAGTTTCTTCATTTCTTCAACAGGCATAAAACAAAGCTGCGCCAGCATCACGCCCACAAACCATTTATGGCAGCATCCCTAGCTCCTACAACTTCCTACTACCACTATTTGTTGGCCCTACGCCTTTTTTGTATTTCCACAACGCGACTATCAATAAAGTTCGATTTCTTGTCTGCGACTATGTATATACATATATATGTGTGTATGTCAGTGAGAGACTACGGCTCATAAATCAAGTTGAACTGAACAAAAAAAAAATATGTATGGAATACATACATACGTGCAAATAAATTTATGTTTGACCGCGCTTTGTGCCAATAATTCTGGCCTGTACTGCTCCGCGCTGTCTTCCCCACAATTTGTTTGCTTACGTCCCTCTTCTCACACCTTCGTCCCTTCTCACCTATCAGTTTACCAAATTCGAAAAAAAAACACTGGCACTAAACTTCCGATATAGTCGCTGTGGCTATGACATTGCCTTGGCCCTGTTCGTGCATATATGTATGTACATATATGTATATGTGTAGTATGTACATACGATCAGGACTGGTTAAACAACACCTTTATGAACTACGAGTACTACGAGTAACAAGTTTCTAACCACAATCCCCAGTTACAAATTACTTTGCAAGTAAAAAAAGCAAGTAACTTCTTGAATTGAAGGATGTGTCGTTTTTATGTCAATTTATGCAACTGTATAACATACATAACATATGTATATATGTACATATACTATATATGAACATATGTATCTACATACATAGATATGTTTGTATGTTTCCACGCTAACAAAATTATACATTTTTGTCAAAAAACTTATTGTTGACTTACTATAAGATATCAAAAGTAGCTTTTTTCCCCAATTAC